ATATATATATACCTATATCCTATACGAAGTGACCTCCTAAAATGTATGTTGGGTGTACGTTAAGACCTCATATATGACGTTATCACCTCCGAAAGCGGAGGTCACAACGTATCGTGTAGTTTTTTTAGCAGAAGCAATTAGAATGGTTGTCCCAGTCTATCTTCAAATTTAACGGTGGAGGTCACTCCGACCTACGAATATCACCAAATATATGGTTTTAGTTCCGATATCTCCCGCGGGCGCTGATTCCGCTTCTGGTGAAACTCTCAGTCTCAGTACTTTATGACCTCCGCTGACGAACTGATCTGTTTAATTCATTGACTTGTTCAGTTTTGAGAGATTTCGGAAAATGGAGAAGAGTAGGAAAATCGTAGATATGGCAAAGGCATTATATGATGCGAAAGGAGGTAAGTTGAAATCAATTCATTGATATTGGAATTATAGGTTCTTCATGAACCGGTGAGTACCTTTTATCTTCTAGTTTTTGCCCTGGCTTATTATGGATATTTTTTTTGCACTCAGTGGCTAGGAACATGGTTATATTGTTCATAACGATGTATTCAGAGATTTTTGAAAATGTTTGCATTCATAGGAAAATGATGCATAGGTACGACCCACAAGTGAGGCTGTGAATCCCTGAATTGATTTTTTATTCTCCCTTTCATCAAATTATTTCTCGTGAACGTTCAACAATCAATATGATCAAATCCTAATCACCATGCCTGGATATTCGAATTCTGTTTAGAATAATGATTTCGATTTTTCGAATATTGTATCGTTAATGGAAAATACTCCATATAAACTGAGAGATTGCTTATCAAGTATTATGTGAAAATTTGCCTGCTGGAATGTTGCTGCTTTTTCTGGATTCGTAGTGGAATGAACAGTAATAAAAATAATTCGGTTATATTATTTGTGGCAGAGAGATTTGTTATTATGAATCAATTCGATTCAAAATTGATTTGGGGATGTACGGTGTCGAGAATATGAATTTATTGTCAAAATTCATGAATTCAAAATGGCAGCTCCAATATGGCGACGAGATTTGTAGTTATTGTTTAATTGGATTCGAAATTAGTGTGTGTGATTCACGAGGTCGAAGATTATGAATTTGTTGTCAAAATGTATGAATTCAAAATGGCGTCTCTAAGATGGCGAACTTGATTTAAGATTATGATCCGATTCGATTCAAAATCAGTATCTGGGATCGTAAATCATGAATTTGTTGTCAGAATTCATAAATCCAAGATTGCCGCTCCAAGATGGCGGACGTGGTTTGTGATTATATTCCGATTTGATTTAAAATTAGTATCTTAGGGTCTCCAAAGTTCGAATATAATGAAATTATTATGAATTCAAAATGGCGACGAGATATGTGGTTATTGTCTGATTCAATTCAAAATAAGTATGTCGGGGTTTTCGGGGTCGGAAATTATAAATTTGTTGTCAAAGTTCATATATTCAAAATGGCGGCTCCAAGATGGCAGAGGAGATTTCTGATTATGATCCGATTCGATTCAATATTGGTATGTGGAAGTTTTTGGGGTCGGAGAAAAATACTTCTCACATACAAGCTCTTATTGAAATGCGCCAAGAAGTGAAAAATAATTTCTTTGGATGTGTGACGTTGCTCATTCTGTGAGTGACATATTCAAAAGCTTGCCGCTCCTGTACCTATTTCAACAAATAACAATAACGCGGCAAGCTTTCGAATTAGTAACTTACAGAATAACCTACGTCAAACATCCAAATAAATTATTATATACTTTCTAGCACATTGGAATGGGAGCTTTTCTTTTAGAAAATGTTTCAACTTCTAGATTTCGCTATACCAGGGGTTTATATGTTTGACCATCATTCATGAAACTATTAAATTACTCTCGAGAATCATTATACAAGGTGGGTAAATGTTTCGAATATTCTATCGTTGATGAAAAACACACTAGATGCATTTTCTTCATTTTATTATGTCCATCATCATTCTGCTATTCGAACAATCCATTTTTCGTTCAACCTTGATATGTATTATTCAGAAGTTCTTGATTGATAACAGTTTCAGTTCAATTCTGCAATGATAGTGTATTAAAATGGATTACAAATATGTGAACCACTGGATTGAGAGGCGGATTGAATTACTTCAAAAGATTTCCAACCAAGTTTCAAGGTAATCGGGATGAGGGTTTTCGGAATATTCATGAAAAAAAGATTGGATACTGTCTGTAGGTTAATCGACGAGGTGGAACTTTCATTATTCCGAATTTTCTTGGGATTTTCTCTTTTCGTTTCTATAAAATAAAAATATGAATATTATTACAATATACGTGTAGTAAGGACAAATCAGATGATTCGCCCCAAAATGTCACTGCGTTGAAAGAATTTTCCTATCAGAGAGCATAAATGAAAAATTCACTAGCTTGTCAGTGACAATTCGTATTGAGAAAAGTTTGGAGAAGAGAAATAGAGTTTAATAGAAGGAATATCGAATGTTCACTTATCTTTGGACGTTTCGGGACCAAACCTGCTTCCGTTTTCATCATAAAAAATGGTCATTTTAATAGCAATATCGTATCTGTCTTGAAACTTCTAAGTTCTCAGTGACAATTGGTGACGTTGGCAATGAAATGAGTTACAGGATGTTTTTTTTCATTAATCAATATTGAATCAACCATTTTCATGTTCAGATTTCAGTAGTGAATACCATGTTCTGTCTATATCAACTGAACAAGAAGCAATGCTATTGCCTTCGTTCAGAAGAGTGCAATAAGCAGATTCCTTGATTTTTCTCTTCTGGTTGTTATCTTTTTTTCCAATGATTTCAATATTATTAAGATGGACAATATATGGCAGAGTATATTAAGATGGACAATATATGGCAGAGTGGAATGATATTGAAATCATTGGAAAAGAAGATAACGAAGGCAATAGCATTGCTTCTTGTTCAGTTTATATAGACAGAACATGGTATTCAATACTGAAATCTGAACATGAAAATGGTGAATTCAAGATTAATTTATGAAGACATCCTGTAACTCATTTGATTGCCAACGTCACCAATTTTCACACGAAAATTTTATTTCTCTTCTCCAAACTTTTTTTAATACAAATTGTCACTGACAAGCTAGTGAATTTTCCTTTTAGGCTCTCTGATAGAAAAATTCTTTGAACGCAGTGACAATTTGGGGCTAATCATCTGATTTGTCCTTACTACACGTATATTGAAATAATATTCATATTTTCATTTTATAGAAACGAGGAGAGAAATTCCCAAATAAATTTCGAATAATGAAAAAAAGATAATTTTTTTTAATATCAACACCCTGTGAAATGAAAACGAAGCGATTGCGGACCTCTTGAAGTTTGGCAGATCAAAAGTGAAACAACCCATAGACCAGCAAATGATTCTGTCTTCTTCTGTATATTATCCTTCATTCAGTATGCTGATTCTTTCAAGATTCAGAAAATACATCAATAATTTCTGAATAATTTATCGAAATCATCTTGTTGCATTTCAGGATGGACTGCGAAGGAAATTAGTTTACTCAAAAGTAAATTCGGATCATTCATCGAGATCAGATAATGGAATTTCTAGAGATCCTACAGTTGTGAAATCAATGTTACAGCATTTGATGCGAAGTCATAAATGAATTCTTTGTAATGTTTGTACTTATTCAGAAATATAGTTATTTTTGTATCTAGATCGCGAAATGCTACTTTGGTGATCGAGATCTGATTTTTTCAACGAGGCGTAGCCGAGTTGAAAAAATAGTCGAGATGACCAAAGTATTTCGCGCTCGAGTTGCAAACAAAATTTTTTCTACAAATGTCAAAAAATATAGTTCTAAAGTAAAAATATGCTCAGATTGGTATGGAAAATAGTGTTGAACTGGCTTAAATGGCCTCCCCCTATCCTCCCTAGGTACGCACGATGTCCCACGAACATAATAGGAATTTCCTTTCGTGCGCTCCAAGAGATGAAACGAAGGTATTGTTTGAACATTCAGAAATAAATGATTTCGTGAATGTTTGCTCGATTGAGGACCATAAAGTCGAAATATAAATATCTCACATATTTTACATAACAATGCGCGAAGTAGGTACTTCGCGCACTGTTTTACTTCGCGCATTGTTTTGTGCAACGTAGCATGGTCACGTAGGAAACTGACAAAAAGTGTCACTTCGCAATTTGTTACCAATGCGCGAACCTTGTCATTTTTTGACGTTTGTAGAAAAAACATATTATTTATGAGTTCTAATTTATTCGGTATTCGAACTTAATGAAGTACTGAACTAGAAATAAATACATTCGCGGAGTTCTCAGAAAGTTCATTAACACAATAATTATCTCGATAATTCACACTATTATATTCCTTCGAATCATCGATGTGACCACCGAATATCTGGCTTAGAGGTCGGAGTCTATAACGGCCTAGCTATGATTAATTTGAATATATGAATTGGAAGTCACTTCGTACGATATATATGAATAAATAAAAAAAAGGAAATGCTTACCCCTCTCTAGAAAACTTGGTAATATATATTCCCCTATTGATAAATATGCAAATATGTTTTCATATATAGGATCAGAAACAGTGGAGGTCGGTCCGCCTGTTCAATGGAATGGAAGTCACAAAGTTATATTAGTACCTATATATATATATATATTCACATATAAACAAGTGAACCTACATTAGAAAATCTGTCAATGTTATTTTTGAATAAATTTTATTTATTATTAATATTAAATGAGTTTTATTCGATGAAATACTGGAATAACTCTATATGAATAATTGGCATCGCACTATATTGTTATACATATTTGTTGATGCCATTTGACAGCATTGCTAAAATAATATAGTCTCGAAATAGCCATCGACCCTAGTTGTTTTTCCGGCAGAGCATTAGGTGGAAAAAGTGATCAGATCAAATCAATATTCAAATATTTGGATCCGTCAAGATATCTCGGGTTGATTGAAATTCCCGGTAACGATTTGTTTACTAACCTACATAGTAGCCCAAATTCTTGAATTCCTCAACCAACTGTTGCTTTTGCGACCCTGACATTCTAGCGAAAACTAAGCCTTTTGCCACAAACTTCGGAACCAGTTCGGGATGATATTTCATTACGTTCGCCCAGGATTTTCCACTAACGGTAAAACAGTAATGACGTTGTCCAGTTTTCTCAATGTCCAAAGAATTGGCATTGCAGTTTTCCTAAAAAAAATACCAGAATAGAACAATTTTATTTTTTCGAAATTCGAGGGACTCAACTTGTATTGTAGCTGGATTGGTAACATTATATTTTATACTGGCTTTACCAGAATACGAAATTTCTTCTGCCACGATTTCGATGATCTCTTCATTAGGTTCGACTATTCCACATTCTTTCGCTATATGTACCCCTGTTTGAATGTTGTCACCTAGAAACATTCACTATATGTTTCACTAAACTAGCCTCACCGGCAAAAAAAACCGGCCAGCCAAAAATTTTGCGAATTTATCGCCCTGTAACTTTTTCAATTCTTGTCTGATTTTGGTAAAATTTCGACCAAATTCTAAGTTTATGTTTCGAAATGTTGACCTGAATTTTAGCTTCCAAAAAATACTGACGGCTTGTTATCATATTATATCAAAATTAATAAGTGATTATACTTAGCATCAGCATGTTTTGGATTGAACTGTGATTCCTTCTTAACACAATAGTGTACAATTCACGTTAATACCTTCTTTTTAAGAGAATTGACAAGTGTTTTAAGAAAGTATGGATTTTTTTTAATCTGCAGAGCCTACACGAACTTACCTTGAAGGGCGTAGATCTTGAAGAGTCTCTAACAAGGCCAGACAAAGAAGAATAAGCCTCTGGAGTTCATCCCAAAGATGTTCTATAGGTTCTGTATTATTGTTACAACACCTCTGTATCGGCTCTTGAAAAGAAGATATTGACGTGAATCAAGAGTACAAGAGCCATTGTGTTAAGAATGAGCGGAAACAAATCACAGTTCAATCCAAAACATGAAGAAGCAGAGAATGTTTCTGATTTCTGAATTATTATTAATGAAAATTAAAAAATTCCATACTTTCTTAAAACACTTGTTTCTTCTCTGAAAAAGAATATATTCACGTGAATCAAAAACCATTTTGTTCAATCTGAAACATAATGAGGAGAAGTTTGACTAGAGTGATTTTATAAAACAGAAAATTGTGATGCATTTTTTGATTGGTCACAGCTATCTAATATGGAGGTGCATCTGCCCGTTTTGTTTTCTCCATTCAGTTCAACGCATTCTATTCCATTTTGTCAACGCTTTGTCACTGTTTATCGCTCTTTGGACACAACCCATCCAACATTCAGACCTGAAACTCTATATATACGTCGATACCTTGGATATTAACTATTAGAATCCGTCTTTTTGAAGTCGTAAGTCTCTGATTATTCAGATGATGAAATGAAAATATCAAATATCTAAACCTTACATCAGGTTGGAACTTCGAAGGCGCAAATTCATCACCTACTGCATGTCATATGCCCTTCTGATTTTTAGACATTCGTGGTCACGAATGACAATTCAGAAACGCGGCAGCCATTTTGAGGACTATTGTCGCTATTCTATTTAATCTACTCACTTGAAGTTTAACCACTCCAACCTTTGCAACAGAGCGTTAAGAAGTTATGGGTGGAAGAGTATACCTACTTCGTTTTACCTGTATGATGACCAAGCCATACATTTTTTTTTTGAAATTCAGGCTATCACTCCGAAATATGAATCTACGATATTTGGTCGAAATTTCATCGTAATCGGAGAAGAATTTAAAAAGTTACAGGGCGATCAATTTGGCAAAATTGTAGGCTTGGTTTTTATTTGCCAAAACTAGGTACTTAGTCAAACAATGTCTCCGACACTATTCTTACCAGTAATCATGACTACCTTCAAATTGGCGCTTTTCAATGTTCTTATGATCTCAGTTGACTCAGGTTTCAACTTATTCTCCAGTATTATGAGGCCTACGAAATCCAAATCGCACTCCACTTCTTCCCTATGCAAATTTTTTGCTTCCTCCGTACTGAGGCATTGAAGATCCTTCTTGGCCAGGCCAATTACCCTATAACATATTGGACAAACGCGTCAGGTAATACGAAAACAATTCATGGAACACACGGCGATTTGACTTCATACCACTTCATTTATACTCAAGAATTTTCATAATGGGCTGTATTATAAAACATCCTACCGACTGCGCCACTTTTGCTATAGATTTATTGAGAATTCTTTACCTGTATCCTTGTTGAGTATAGTCTTTGAGCCTATCCAAGAGTTTCCTAGGCACTGAAGTTTGCCTGGAAAAAGTCATAATGGTTTCGGGAGCGCCTTTGCAAAAGGCTGTGAATGCGTTGGAGTCTGAAGAATGCGAAATAACGCTCATTCTTTGCAGATTCGAGGAAAATTGGAATTGTTTCACAATACCGATTTCCAGGGACTCCTAAAATATCAATAAAATAGGGTGAAGATGAGCCATCAAGTAATAAGTTAGGTAATGGGGGTTTTTACCTGAGACTCTTTTGGTTTTACAATGATGTGTTCCTTGCTCGATCCGACCGAGTCGATAAGGTCCCACCCTGTAGATTCGAACATCTGGAAACAAGATTTCATCTACTCACTGAATCGAAAATAGGCGTTTGCTCCCTCGATTTAGGGAATCAAAGTTGTCAATTTACTCTCACGGGAGGAACAAAACATTAACTTCCCATCGAAGTAAAATAAACTGGCTTCAGCATACATCATTTGGCGTTGATATTACTCGAGATGTTCTGCAGGTCTCCAAAGTAACCAGGAAGGGGTGCGAAGCCTCAACTCGACGGGTTAATCTCGCGGGGACTGCCAAGGGAGGAACAGTTGTTGATATTTCAGGAGATCATCGTCCATGAAAATATCTATGAAATAGAACCAGATCGCCAACTTTTCTACGGTGTTCCAGAGAAGTGAGTGAGTTTGTGAGCGCGATGCATCACCCACGAGACGAATTGCCCTTTTTTGGACAGAATCCAACAGTTTCAAGGTATGTTTGGGTGCTGCACTCAAATATGGGAACAGTATTCCAGGACAGGTCGGATCTGTGCCTTATAAGCAGCTGACTGGAAGTGAAATAGTTCCTGGCCCGAAACAGAAAACCAAGTTTTTGGGATGCACTTTCAGTAATCGATCTCACGTGATTTTCCCAAGAAAGGTTATTGCTCATAGTAATACCAAGCATCGAAATGGATGTCTTCAAAGGTATGGTTACTCCTGACAGAATAATAAGTCAAACATATTGACTCGTACTTTTGCTACGCGGACGAAATGGATACCTGTCCTCCCGTGATATATAAATAGCTATCATGTACTACAGGAATTCATAGGGTACTTTAAATTTCTATTTTCGGTGAAAAGTGGTACTAAGGAACCCTCAGTATTAAAACTGAGTTTTAATCTTCTCCTGAAGATGCTAACATAGTTTATTATCGTGCCAAAGGTTCCAGCATCTTCGATATATATTTCCGATGATTTTTAACAACGAATGATTGCATCAAATATACTATTTATACACGGAATGATCAATATGGAATAGGTATTAGGCGTAAATTCGACTAGTGTGGACAACCCCATTCGAAAATGTTATAGTGGTGACAAGCGTGTCCACACTCTTTGAAGCGCGTGTAATGAGATTTTTCGAGACACACTAGTTTTAGCTACCTCTTGAAGACCTAATTTTTTATATTTCTTGCAATACGTAGACATTAAAAAAAATAATCACTCCTCTGCTAGCTAATTTATTTCAGTCGAAGTCTCCACCTTGTATATAATTATATTACCTTCAGGTCCAATGGATCTCCTCCCAATTCACCATTGATGGTTGTCAAAGAATGACAGGTGGCCATGCCTCGCAATAAAGGAGATGTGAGGGGTAGTTTTTTCGTATCTTTCAGAACATCTTCGATCTCATTATTCACAGGAACTATTCCCCACATGTCAAGTTCGTCTTCTGTAAGTGTTCCAGTCTAGAAATGATAATGTATAGGTGAAGAGTGATATACCAGGTGCAGGTAACTTATATTCAGGTGGTGATTCCTTGTTATACCGGGTGGCTACGGAAGTATTGCCTACGGAATATATCAGTTATTGTATGAAGTAGGTTTGTGAAATTTGGAGCGTCGATATAATGTCATAAGAGCTAGAATTTGAGCATATTGACATGTCGAAGTTAACTTCCGGTCTGACCGGAAGTAACATCAACTTTCTTATTTTAAATGGAAACCCTATTTGTTTTTCTTTTCCCTTTATTCAGCATTCAATTCTTTTTCTGATGACATACTAAAATCCCCTTCGAACTACAGACAATGACCCTGTTTTTTAAGACAATATTTTGTTCGCCTCAAAAATTATGTTAACCCAGTTGTAGGGCAGTTGGAAGCGAGTCCACACTTTTGTGTAGCTGGATCGGAGGGTGTGTATTTTAGGACACATGTTTATTTATGAAGAAAACGTCTTATTCTGATCCCAACTATATGTCCTTACAGTATTTGTGGTACATCGAATTTGGAATCACCCTGTATAGCTGAGAAGCGAGTCAGTGGCGTAGGTATAATAAAAAATAAGGGAATAATGTGCGTATTACCCTCACCTGAAAAACAGATTTAAATATCGAACGATGGCATTTGGGCCTATACAGGGTGTATCTAAATAACACCGAACAAATTCAAGAGGTGATTTCTTGTGATATTTCAGAAAATAAAGTTCATATGAACATATGTCCTAGCTTGCTTCATTTTCGAGATACAGGGTATTGATATTTCCATGAAGAATCGTTTTTTTATTAATTACTCAATTGTCTTTTCATCAATTTCGATAAAACGTTGTGGTTTTGCTAATAGTAATATGGAGCTTCTTCTGGTGCAATTAGATTCGATATAATATTCCCAGTGGCGTCACAGTGGGTGAATTTATCGATATTTATGGTAAATGTCATTAGTACGCCATCGGTTCTTCTGAGTTTCATATATTCTCATATTAGATTTAATCTATTGATTCAACAACTTTATTATCCTCTCAATAAAATCCCAATAAAAAATCGATTCGACTCCAAATTTTAATGTAATAACCCCAATTACAATCAATTTGAAATTTTGGGGCTTTCTCAGTCTCCAACCATACTGAATTTTGGCACTATGAAAGCTCATATATACAGGGGGGTTATAAATAAAAACAATTAATACTTTCAACTCCAACATCCTGTATCTCAAAAACGGAGCAAATTAGGTCACATGTTTATGAACTTTATTTGCTCATAAGGAATCACCCCTTGAATTTTTGCGGCGTTATTCAGATACAATGAAAAATTGCATGAAAACCATGTTATTTTAGTTCAAGAAATATGATGAAACAACATTTTACTGGTACCCTGAATATGTAGGTATGTACCTTATCAAAGCAGATGCAGTCGATGGAACCTGAGACATTGATGACTCTCGAGTTTATACAAAAAATTTTCTGGTTTTTCAACCTATTGAGTGCATACAGTTTGCCAACTGTCATTGCTGCTGGAAGAGCAGGTGGCACAGCTATCGTGATGACGTCCAACGATTTGATTAGAATGTCGACAGCTAGTATGTTTCTCTTTAACTGAAAATAAATCCTAATGTACCGAGTGACAGAGGAATTATTGGACAGGACGTCATTCAGTTGTTTTCCATGTTAGACTTTTCTGAGACCCATATTTTCCATGGAAAAACAATTATTATCACTCCCGGTATAACTCCGGAAATTGACCTGGGTTAAGAATTTTGAATAGAACCCTGTAGATATTTTCACGCCAATCGAGAGAGTGAAAAAATCCCTTCTCAATGACATATTACAATTAGCCATTTGTTTCAATATGACGGCGCAGAAGATATATTCCTGAAATCAATATGGCGACACTTTGACGTCACCGATTGAATGGTTATCAAGCAAGCTAATAAAATAGCAGATAAACGAAGCACTTCGATTAGTTTTTGATGAAATTTCCGCAAATTTTGAGTCATCGCCAATTTTAGGGTAAGGTACTCAAAAATAGTTATTTGTTTTACTATAGGCATGCTGCAATGGGAAACATATAATTAATTTTCTCTCCAAATGTTATTAAACCAATTCTTGCCTCAATAGACCGGGAACAAATAACAATTTCAATACTATTGGCCTACAGTAAGGCTTTTGACATAATGGAGTACGGTATATTAGTAAAAAAGCTCAGATTCCATGGTTTTGGTGAAAGCGCAGTGTGTCTTCTTGCAAGTTATTTTGAGGGCCGCTCTCAATATGTTGAATTCGAAAATACTGAACCGTGAATTCGGGGTCCCTCAGGGGTCAATTCTTGGTCCTCTACTTTTCTCTATATACATATCAGACTTCGGAGAATTCCTGGGTGGCTGCAATGTACGCCGACGACACACAAATGTATTTCAGTTTTTCGGTTGCAATTGGAATCAACAGCGATCTATTGAAACTGTTTGATATATCGTCGGCTCATAATTTAAAACTCAATGCTGCAAAATCTAAAGTCCTGATTTTTAGCCCAAAAAAGATGAGAAATATGATTATGCAAAGTTGTACGTTTGCAATCAATCATGAATTGTTTTCTGTGGTAAATGAAGCAAAAAATCTTGGTTTGTGGATTGACAACGAAATGCTGTATTCGAAGCATGTTAACCATCTCTGTAAAATTGCATATGGTACACTAAGAACACTTTTTCCTCATAGAAGCATTCTGAATCGCGACCTGAAACTCCTTTTATGTGAAAGCTTAATAATGTCAAAATTAGCAATTAAAAAAAAGTTCGATTGTTTTTTGGCAAGATAAATCAACGACAACATACAAATAAACAACAATGATGATTCCGTGTAACTGGTAGTTTGCGGAATTGATTTTCTCATATTTTCGTGGTTTCTTCAGACGAAAGTTTCCTTAAACCTTGCTAAATTACGCGTGAACCATACCCATCAATCAAACTTGACACGGCAGAAATTGAAGTGACATCAGGCGAAAATAGCTACTAGATCAAAGGAGCAGGCAGTTTATCAGCGATCAAGAAGGTACATCCTTTTTTATTGATGTCAAAATGATTCGCGTCGTCGTCAAATAGCGTTTTCCTACAAACGCTTAACCATCATGCTTAACAAAGTAGCCTTTGACGCTTTCAAATTCCAGCTAAAGTTGACGTTTTCCCAGAAATGTCATTCTTTGACAGCATTTGCGCTCGTGAGCGGAAATAAAAAACGCTCGCACATCTCTGTAACCTATACTTATCTATTCTTGGAATCCCCCAATTCTTTCATGATGGAAAATAGTGAAAGTGATTCATCAAACACACCTCCCGATATAGCAGAAAGCACAAGAGTTTGAATCTCATCTTACCGGAGAAATCAAGGAAGAAATATTAATTACAATTATGATACATTCATAAATTGGTGCCACTCCGAGATGGTGAATATGCATTCAGAAAACGTTTTACTGACTTATTTTCGTAAAAAATTAAAGACTTTGAAGTCATCAACTCATTGGTCTAATGTTAAAGATAATATCGGAATTAATGAATATCTGAAACTTATTGCAAGTATATCTGTTCAAAGCGATGAATTATACTTTATATTTAAACTCTGTGTTGTCATCAGACAGACAGTGTATCTTTATTTTATTGCATCAATGAGTAATGTTCAATTTGATTGCAGAGTTTATCGTTCTATGGCTCAGAGGTCTGGAGCTCAGGTTGCCACGCTGGTGGTCCAGTTTCAATTCTCGCTAGGCCCGACATTTTTTTTCTGGCTTGTCAGTTATTCAAATTTTTCTTATTCTGTTTCCTTTGGACATATGAGATAATATATATAGGTAAGAACTTTTTCAACTATTTCAATCGCTCATACTTTCAGGGCAGTTATTTCTAAAAGCTGCGTTAGTAGAAAAAATCTTGTGTGTATTTCGAGCACAAAGTGTTATTGCCGCTCTCCAAAGATTACCGCGCGATGCGGAGCGGAGCTTGTCGAGCGGCAATCTATCACTTTGCGCTCTGAATACACAAATAGCTATTTCCGTGTAAGATTTGATTAATCGCTGTAAAAATGCTGATTCCTCAAGACCATACTTCATCGAGTAGGTTGAATTGTTGTCAAGCGTAAATTCGCAAAATGAGCCGTTTTAGGAAAATTTCGTCTGAAAAAAATACAAAAAATATGAAAAAATCCACAAAAATTAATTACGCATATTAGAAGAAACACGAATTCATCAATCAAGGTAATTATTATTGTTGTTTATTTGTATATTGTCGTTGATTCATCTTGCCAAAATTCACTCGAACTTTTTTTTAATTGGATAAATTTCCATACAAACTCAAACATTTTCTATCAGTAATTTCTCTCGAAAAACTGACATTAGACAAAATGGCTCGACCTACGGTCTCGCAGTTTTTTCATGTCAGTTTTTCTCGTAAAATTACTGATTGAAGGGACATTTATCCGATAAAAACAAGCTCTTGTGTTTCTGAGGAACATTTCCCGTATAAGAGTGTCTATAGAAAAGTGAAAGGTCGCCGACTTTTCTACGGTGAACTAATGAGTACCATCTATATTCAGAATTTTTGAAGAAAATTCATCGGAAAGAATGTCATTTGAAAGAATCATTAGAAGCATACAATTTCCTTAAGAACTAGTCGAAATACTTCGTCAATTTGCTATTTTATCAGGTTGCCTGAAGACAATTTCGATCGATGACGTCACTATTTTGGTTTCATTGAAAGATGTCTTGGCGCCTCCTTTTTGAAGACAAATGTGCACTTGTGAGATGTCATTGGAGAGAGATTTTTTTGCTTTATCGAATTACGTTAACATATATACAGGTTCTATTCAAAATTCTCGACATAGGTAAATTTCCAGTAACACCAAAAGTGATATTCAATTGTTTTTTTATAAAGAATATGGATTTTGAGGAACTATATCCTTGATCCAACTGTCAAAAGTCTAATATGGAAAACAAATGTATCACCCGGTAGATAGTTTATTTTTCTTCGTATCTTTGTTTTCATTCATTATAAGTCCGTACCTTAGAGACTATCGTGTAAATGACTGACACTAGAGCTATGATAGCTAAGATTCCGATGAATTTGTAGCTGTCAGACTCGAACTTGAAATCAGCAGGAGGTGGATATAAGATACTTCTAACTAGCTCCCCTTTCGCAGTGAGATAACCTGTTCTTATCACCACAGCTAATACCTTTTCATCGTCTGAAAAATGAGAAAAATAAACACTCTGCCAACGAGTGCTCAGTGCTCAACATGTCCCACCTTTGCTTCTCGTCTGTATTACTTTTGTTCCAGAAAATAAAGTGTGGTTAACATCTTCTTTCAAATTGTAGGGTATGAAATTGTTGGGCAATGGAGTTTTCGTGATAGGCACAGACTCGCCTGAAAATAAGACAGTCACCTGAAATGATATTAATAAAAAAGAATATTGAGGTGATTCTACCTGTAAGCATACTTTCGTTTACTACGCAAGCTCCAGATAACAGCACGGCGTCACAATGCATGTCACACCCCGTATATGGTATCGCAATCAAGTCACCTGGTACCAGTTCTGTTGTAGGGATGGTTTCGTACAAGTTGTCACCTCTGCAAACAGTAGCTGTATCCACGAAGTTCACGGTACCTTTCAAATTTTTTTGATTCTGAAAATTTTTCATCAATCAAGTTTAAATGACTAGAACTCGATGAATACTATTTATATCCTTCCATGAACATGATACGCCAGTCAAAATCGACACAAAAAATCCCTAAATTCGCAAAACATGATGTATCTCTGATTATTCAGTATGTTGTTTGGACCCATTAGGGTAGTGTAAACCCAAGTTTGCAACTCTCAAAGAGTTGTGAAAAAGTGTAGCACACGAAAAACTGCGAAATTTTCGGATTTTCTTCAGTTTTTGCTCTATATCTCTTGAACTATGCATTTTTCGACAAACAATGTGATATATTATGTTTTTGAAAGGAATCGAGTGAGTTTTGAACATTCACCAATTTCGAAGATTTGGGTCAAAGCAGAACTCCAAATTGAATGAATTGTAGGTATAGGTACTAATTTCATAGTTATTTCATAGCTTTCGCGATAGATTGGACATTCTCCCCCATGAATGAGTATTGCTGATGGAAATACCGAGCATTGATATTGCTAATTCCATTTTTTTTTCATGAAATGAAAGGAAAAAGACGAATTTAGGCCGTCATTTCGAGGGCCTCTGGGCACGGCCTTATTGAATATGAGGCAAAAAGTTTTGGTGGCGTTGAGTTCAACTAGGTTGTTAGTTCCCCAGGCTGTAATTTCAGCAAAATCTTCATTGACAGCGTTGACCTGCCTTCGTCGTAGGTTCTAAGTTTCCTGCGAAGAAATAGTAATTATGGAAGAAACGCAGTATCGAGATCATCTGCAAAGTTGTGGATAGGGCGAGTGGTTGCAGGCAAAAGGTTTCGCCTAGATGGTCGTCAATGCAAAAACAGTAAATTTCCAACTTTGTTATCTTATCCTAGGACAAAAATATGTATAAATTTTAGTAGCTTACATAATTTTCAATGCAAAATTAAATATCTTCAAAAGCAAATGGAATATCAAAATTAATCAAGAGAATATTGAACCTCCAACCTATTGTTTTATTGTAGTCTTACCTTTCTTGTTTGTAAGACAGACGTAGATATGCCGACTACAGACATTATTATTATGGCAACGGTGTAGTGAAAGTACAACTCTACCATCCAGACTGTCAAACTGAAGAGTTGGAAGATGTAAAATGGGGTCAGAGCCTCTAGAAGAATCAGCTTGGTTATGGTTTGCACTGGTACTGAAATTTCATTCTCTCCATAAATTATTCTCCTATAAAATCATTTGAGGTTAGTAACATATCAATTTGTGATATTTTGAAGTTTGTACCTACTTTATATCTTGTTTTTCTTTACTTTGTCCCTTCAATGAGAACAGCTCCGTTCTTTGGAGCCCCTTATCGAACCCGGCAAGTTTAAAGAATGTTTCTTTCTCGTCATCCCATATGTATAAAAGTTTCTTGCACCTTATAATACGTGCTTGACAAAGTTCTGAAATAGTTGTTTTTGAATCAAGTGCGTGAAATGAGTGCTTTTTCAATTGCATATGATAGTATCGATTTTTGGCCGAGACGAAATACAATAGTATAAGATTCTAAATGGAGGCATCGTAGATAGACACAATATCAACACTCAAACACATCTTTATTCACTCAGGACGGCTTGTAGAAAGATGACCGTTTATAAAAATACAAGATCGACAAGTGATTTGTTCTGATGCTACGATGCTAATTTCTAAACCTGCTTCAATCTTCGATCACACGACGATTCCGAATACCAATGAGTCGTCGAGGTCGCTTGTGATGAGGCATTCCTTAGGCTTACTTCTCATTTACGGGATGATTTGAACATCGTTGCTAACAATAATTATTCTTGTATCTAGTGCGCATACTGCTATTATTTTTATTAAAAGCTTTTAACCTTGCAATATATGTATGTTTGTTCGAGTGGAATCTTTAACTCAATTTTGAAGTAGATATCTTCAACCGCTGAAATTTTGTATACACATTTAGTTTGGATGACAATGCACGATAAGGTGTGTGATGTATTCTAAATTCAATATGGCGGACCATCCAAGATGGCGGAATAGTTATTTTCAATGCACTTCTACAATATGGATATCAAATGAAAGGGCTTGTTGAGAGTAACTCGAAAAATAATTTGATGTCAATCTAAACCCAATATGGCGAACCATCCAAGATGGCGAAATAGTTATTTTTAATCTATCTCTACAATATGGGTATTGAATGAAAGGGCTCGTTGAGAGCAACACGTAAAATGATGTGACGTCTTTCTGAATCCAATATGGCGGACCATCCAAGATGACGAAATAGTATTTTTTGCTGCTGGTCAAGCATATGTGACCTTAAGTATGGTAGAATTATTAGAATGTCTCCTTATTATTGAAGAGCTGTACTATTCGAAATTAACCGGCAAAAAACCTTGCAACTTCATAACATCATTATACACAACTTTTAAATAATTTAGTACTAATTCAATTACCTATGTAAAATCTGCTGAGTTTGAATTCTTGAAATTTCAATTTAATTGATAATATTGATCATCGCGACAAGCTTTTATGATCATATAAAGTTGTTAGTTAAAATTTAGAAGGAAAATTTCATCTTCTTCCTTTTAGAGCATTGAAATAAAAGATTTTTTGAAACTTTTTTTTTTACTTACGATTTGATTCAACTCGGCTGCGCCTCGTTGAAAAAATCAGTACCCGATCACCAAACTATTTCGCACATTAGTAGCAAACAGAATTTTTTTCTACAAACGTCAAAAAATAGTGTTCGAAAGTAGTAATTAATATGTTCAGCATAATACAAAAAATAGTGTTGAACTGTCCTAAAAGGCCTCAATCATTGTTAAATATTTAGAAATAGATGATTTCTTGGATGTTTGCTGGATTGAGGACCATAAAGGGAAAATACAAAAATCTCATATAAGTTTACAATGCGCGAAGTATCTACTTCGCGCACTACTTCACATCCGGGGTCGTGCTAACGTAGGAAACTGAAAAAAGTGTCACTTTGCATATATTGTTATCAATGCGCTAACCTTGTCAGTTTTTGACGATTGTAGAAAAATAATGTTATTGGTGGTGTTTTCTTAGCTTAAATTTTTGTACTTACGTTTTTGTCTTCCATCACACAAGTTGAATTCCAGAATATGCTCTTGCTTCAATTGTCTCGGTTGTTTATTATCAGAATTTCCACTGAAAAAAGTGAACACATTGGTATAATGTGAATAAAGATGTAACTAAGATCTCGTACTTTCGCTTTACCTCCAAGATTTTGATATGTTTCACGAAGTAGGACTTATATTTCCGATAAGAATCCTGAAAAAAAGGAAATCTCAAAAATCTGAAACTAAATATTTTCATAGCAGGGATTTCAAAATTTATGAGGTATTTCTTACAAATGAATATCCGCCCACTTACAATTATTAAAATTTTTTCGGCTTTTTTTAGATTTGTTCGTGTATGTGTAGCTTTCAGATGTAGATGAGGGTACCAATGGAAGAAAAGTCGGAGAACACCAGCAGTCAACAAATAAAGCAACCAGATGATATTGGTCTTCATTTTGCTTTCGACAAAACCTTGGATTTCCTAGAAAATATAAAAAATGTTCTGATTAGAATTATACAGTGCCCACCTGATGGTATACTATATCGCAAAAAAGGACCCCGCACGAAAACACGGGAAATTGGTTTTCTGTCGTATTGGCTGAAATTTTACTATGTTGTTGTGGGATGGCTCATTAGAAAAATATGTGAGTTTGAAAAGTTTTGTATGTTTAGTTTCTGAGATATAAGCCGACAAAGTTCGTAAGAACGTCGTATCGGGGTAGGATTGACAAGAAAAAAAAACTGTTTTTTAGTATAAATGAGACAAAATAAGCTAGAAAATGTATCGATCGGAACACAAATACATGTCTAGTTATGGTCACATAAATCATTGTAAATCAGGGTGTATACGAGGCATGGTCAAAAAATTGATTTTTCGAAAAAAAAATTCGAGCACTATTCCAAAACCAACAAGCTATATTTTGGTGGAACATTATAGTTTTAGTCTATTGTAGGCTTCGAAAACGTATTTTCATTCTTGATAACTATCCCTGTTCGGAATATGAATTTTTAGAATTTTGTATTATACCACTTTTTGAAAACGATTGACAGCTTGTTTTTGATCAAAAAGAAAGGGATTGATTGATACTGTTGATTGAATGAAAGCTGAGGTAACTCACTAGCGAATTCAGTTGTTCAATATGGTTTTCCATTCAGATACAGGGTGTGTTAGATTTTGTTAGATATTATTTAACGTGTTTCAATTGAATATCTCGAAAACAGTTCCGTCAATTCGGATCTCATTTTACTTTATCATATGCAAAAAGTTTTTCAATTTTTTATGTTTGGTTTACACTCTGATTTACTATAATTTATTTGATTATAACTAGACATGCTTATGAGTCCCGATCAATACATTTTCTAGCTTATTTTGTCTTATTTATATACTAAAGAAACATGTAAAACATTCGATCAAATGTATTTTCGGTGAAAAATTCTTTCTATTTTTTGATTTTCGATCAGAAGACTTCTATCAAATGTTTTTCTATCATTTGTCTTTCGATCAAATTTCCGCCACCCCGATTTTATTTCCGTATCTGATATCACAATGACAATGATTGTGTTATTATTTCAAAAAAATCACATCGCCCATGGAATGTAAAATTGCAAGCAATGACGCAGCTCTGTCTAATAGATGAGCATTACTTGACTGGAAATCAGATGGCTAAAAGCCGAAGAAATCGAAAATGCCGCTGTTATCTGTTACAGCCGTAAAAAAATTACAGTGAATGATTGCAAACTTCATTCTTGTAGGAAATCACTATCATTCCGTGCTCATTAAACAATATACTATTTACCAAGGCAAACTCCAAATTTCTTTGCGATATACCAGGTGGTTCAAGAATTAATAAGAGGGAAGTGACTTCTGACGGGCACGTAGGTATCATAAATATAAAATATAATGTATTCAAACTTTTTGGTGGTTTGTTTACAACTTACCATTTGATCTTCCTCCCCATGATTGATGTACTGGACCTTGATTAGTTTTTCCTCATTATTGTTTTGTGGATAATTTGTTTCTTTCTTATTATGTGCTACCTGATCATCTGGAATAATAATGATGAAAAAATAACGTTTGGTTAAGAAAATTCAGGAATCAGGAAATATCATATTTTACATCAGGAAAATTAATTAGAAAATTTCATACCTATCATGTTCGACCAATTGAAAGCCTGTATTTTGTTTCGTTACCGTAGCAACTAAACAAATTTATGGACATTTGTTTCTCTTTTTGGATGTATGATAAATTGATATTCATCATACAGGACGTGGAAAGAAATTCTGAATTGGAAGAATAACTGGACTTCAGGTTACTGATAAGGATTTGATATCCGAAAGGAGTTTTACTCGAGTTAAGTCATATGGCCTGTTTGTGAGAGATATAATTCCCATACCACTGATAAGAATGATTTTTTTGAAAGTTCCAAGCTCATCAAGATCAGAGTTCATCGAAGTATACTTGTCTCATACATTTCAATTTTCATTTCAATACTGAACATATTGGTAAGTTATATTTTTATATCATGATACGTCATATTATTCTATTAGATTTGGGAGATAATGTCAATTCTCAATTTCAGAGTATTTTGATTTTTCATGCTCTCTTTTTTTGAATTTTATTCAATGTTCGACGTGGCAAATAGCCAGGAAAGTAGTTGTTTTCTGTTGAATATTCAGAATAATATTATGTGCATTAACATATCGTTATATAAAGGAGAATGCAAATTCTCTACTCCAGAAGATTTTGTTTTCAAATTCTTATCGTGTGTGTTCAATAGATGTTATTCAATGTTCGCCGTGGCATATAGCCAGGAAAGTAGTTGTTTTCTGTTGAATAAACCTAGAAAGAATTCTCAATGTATATTATATATAGATGGTACAGGAAACCAATCAATAGTAATCGTTTTACTAATTACCATTCACATCATCCAATGAAAATGAAAATTAACTTGATACGTAACCTCAAAAACAGAGTAGAAAAAGTCACTCATGTTACTTTGAGAAATGATTGTCTAGTAGAATTAAGAAACATTCTTATCGAAAATTCGTATCCAAAATCATTAGTTAATAAAATTATTTTCAGTTAATGTTGACGTTTCTCTAGCAAGAAATAATCAAATTTCAATATTCAAATCTTTACCACAAATAATTGATCTAACTCCCAAATTAATCAGTCTCTTTAAAAATGAAACAAATATTAAATTCGCTAAAACAAATTTGAAAACAATATTTCATCTTCATACCAAATTGAAAACTCCTGTACCAGTCAAAAATAGATCGAATATTATTTATGAAATTCCCTGCAATGATTGTAATCTAGTTTATATTGGTCAAACTTGTAGAATGTTAAAAGACAGAATCACTTCACATAAAAGTGATTGTAGAAGAGATTTAAAATCATGTAGCCTTGCTGAACATGTTATAGATGAAGATCATGTAATGAATTATGATAATGCCAAAATTCTGGATTATGAAAAACATCTCAACAAACGCCTCTTTCTTGAAATGGTACATATTAATGAAAATGATAAAACGATGAACAAAAGAACAGACATCAACGATCTTAGTACCATTTATACATTCCTTCTAAAGAAACAAAAAGATAAAAAATCAACTCGTCCTCCTTGAATGATTCATGTTTTATATATATAATCTACAAACATTTTTTATATATCAGTACTTTTATATATATCAGTATTCATCTCACTCTGTATTCAACATCTTCAAATAAGTCAACCATCATCTATGACATTTTTGTGTCAAATCATTTCATTTTATTTATACACCTATGTTTCCTTTTTGTGCTAATTTTATATAGAATTCCATGTTTGTAAGTATACTAATTTCAATTGATGTACATTTATATTTTAATATTATTGTTCCATTCGATGTTTTCAGTTAGTCTTGATAAAGAAAATAAAAATTTTCGAAAGCTCGACGACAAATAACGAAGAAATTTAATTGATTCATTGGTCCAGACTGCATCCCACTAATATTTCCAAGAATATTATTATAGAACAGTCACGAAATCTTCCCCTTGTTATATATATATATCCATTTTTTTGTGTTCATATATAAATATATCTGAGAATATTCCTTTTCAATAATTTGATTCTCCTTGGGGGATAACATGAAATGACACTGAAAATTTTTCGACGTTTATAGGTAAAATTACATTGACATTTAACAGATTACGAGGAAATCATTCTTCAAGTTGAAAGTTCCTTATGTAGGAAAATATAGTTCTAACAACTTTTGCTAAATGAATTCGTAAATAAATGAGAGGTTGATCTACTATATCGACTTATTTTTCATTGTTTCTTATTATAGAAATCGAAAGTGTTGCTAAACAATGTCATTCGCGAAATTATTCGGCAACAAGCTGTCGTAACAATCACCGAATTCATCCGGCAAAATATAGTATCACTTATGGTATTACATTATGATAATCAGCGAAAAATCAAGCTCGAAATCCGAACCCAAACTTGAAAAATTCTCTGGAGGGGGGCTAACAGAACGATTTATTTTGTTTATGTTTTTTATAATGGTTCTCCGTAATGTTCAGTTCACATGAAATTATCAAACGATCATTATGGACTTGTAGTAGTTGTAAAGTCACTAGAAATAATATAAGATGATGACTTACAATAGATAAATAGATTGTTTGCAAACCTATTATTGTCCTTCGACCTTCTATTTTGAATTATTAGGTGTGACAGCGTAATTTTTAGTTTCCTGGAACTGTCAGGTGAATAATTATTATGTTCTGAAAAACGTATTAGTTTTTTGTACAGGGTCTTCAAGTACCAACAATTTAAGCATCCCTACTACTTTTTTGTTTTCAACTTGAGAAGAATGTAAGCTTTTATTATTTCTCCTGTAGATTGTAATTACGTGATACAACAAAAGTTCATGTTAATATTAATTGTACATGTTATAAAAGTCACCTGATGGTAGACCTCAATATGATTACACAAAGGTACTTTTGAATGTTTCAATACAATCTATATAAGGAGGTATGTATACAACTTTCTAATAGTGTAATGTAGGTTATAGGTTGCATTTTTTCACGATTAATAAGAAATATATGGTAGCCTTTGAAGACATGAGAATGCGGAAGATGAAATAAAATCAAAATTTATCATACAAATAAATGATCTTTGGTAGAAGTCCATCGTTTCTCAATGTGGAGTATAGTGGTCAATACTGAATGAAACACAGTCATCTCCACGACAATTTATTGTGAAAACTCACGGGTTCATTGTGAATAATCAAAATATTTTCGGACATATACGTATGTCCATCATCAGCCTAATAAGAAATTACATAGTCATGAAGGTGACAGATTTTTTTTTATCTAATGACCGTAGAGAATAAAAGTACAAAAAGTTGAATGGTTATTGATTGTTTTCCTAGAAGGATAACCATAAAAAACCCCCATAGGTGGGCCTTATGGTGGATAATAAAAAACTAAAGAAAATTTGAGGTTGATTGAAATGACAAGTATACTTACCAAAATTGTTCAGTCAGTTCATAAAAATCGCTACAACCTACTTGATTACTAATCATATCAATTATTAACTTAAATAACCCTGTTTGAGAAATAGGGGTAGAGTATATTATGATAATAATTGTATGGGTATTAGAAACCAATTAATACATTCCACAGTTCATGATGAATTACGTAAATTGCACATTACTGACATATTATAGTTGATTATTTGAAGCTGATTTTGTTATTATGACAAGAATAACGTGTAATGTAGAATACTATATAAATATAATGATTTTTGTCATTTTTGCATGTTTTTTGGCCACCTTGTATATTGTCTGACACATTTTAAATCAGGAAGAGCGACGTTATGATAAAATAATTGAGCAGGATTTACCATACTCCTCGACACATATTATGAAGTCCAAGGACAATTTAAAAATAAACGCCAACAGACTATATAGATGGAACAAAATTTACACTTTGTCCAAAAATTTCGATTTCTATTTCCTACCTACAAGGATATCGAAATAGTTATGAAATATAATAGGAAGTTTTTTGGAATGATAATTTTCCATGCATCGTGTTATGCTGCAGCTAGTTTGAGAATGTTTCCGAAATGTTTACAAAATTATGTTTTTTGAACCACGAACCAGATCAAAATCTGACGGCACCAAGTTTCGTGATTGAATAAAGTTCATATAAACATGTGTCCTAGCTTGCTCCGTTTTTGAGATACAGGATGTTGAAGTTGGAAGTAGTAATTGTTTTTATTTCTTAACCCCCTGTATAAGCTTTCATGGTGCCAAAATTCAGTATGGCTGGACACTGAGAAAGCCCCAAAATTTCAAAATAATTGTAATTGAGGTTATTGAGTAATCTCAATGGAAGTCTTCAAAACACCTACATTAAATTTGGAGTCAAATCAAATTTTTATTGATTCCTCAAAAACTAAGCTAGATAAAAAAATCACACAAGGAATATAAAGTTGTTATTTCAATAGTTCAATCTGGTAAAAATTTGAAACTCAAAAAAACCGGTGGCGTACAATGACATACACCATAATTATCGGAAAATTTACCCACTGTGACGCTAATGGAAATATTATTCCGAATCTGTTTGTACCAGAAAGAGCTCTATATCACTATTAACACTTCAACGTTTTCTCGAAATTGATGAAGAGACAATTGATGAGTAATGAATAACATACCGATTTTTCATGGAAATATTAATACCCTGTATCTCAAAAACGCAGCAAGTTAGGACACATCGCACGTTGGGAACAATAGTGTGATAATTCAAAATTCTTCGTTTTGAGAAAATCGACTTTGAAGATTTTCACTTGTTGATGATGATGAATTCGTCTCTGGCGAACCTCATTCACCGCGAAAAGTATATCTAGTTCAAATTATATCATTATATCATGAACTTACCTGAGAAATTTCTAGTTATAATATTTTCGAATATTTTTTTCCAATTTCTCAAGAAATAGTTTCGACATGTCACAGTTTTGATCAATCATATTCGATAATTTTAAGTGATGTCACGCCTGAAGACCACCAATTTTCTGAGATGTATTATAGGTAGTTTCATTCATTTGTAGACCCTATTATATTCATGACTGGATTTATTGAAGATGTGCTCTGAGTTCCTACCATTTTAGCAAAATCCAAATCGGGCCCTTCGGTTGCTGAACATTCCTCTTTTGGCAGTTTGATCTTTAGTTTCTGAATAGAAACAAACGGGTATTGACTGTTACAACTGAGGTGTAGTTAAATTTTTTGAAAGAAGGAAATACCTATAATGAATGAAATTCAAATTTGAAGCTATTCTTGGGAATTCCTTCAAACACCCTTTTTTCCAAATGTTCAATCCGAAGGAATTATAATATATTTTTCAAAATTGGAATTCAAACATGAGGTGGAGCTTGATATTCCATGCAAAGACAAATATTAAAATTATACATAGATTCGGAAGTTTCATTCTAGTTTTGTATTTCTCCTTTTTATTTTTAAGGGCTATCACCTTGTTGCTATTATTTCAATCTCTATAAAAATTTTCTCAAAGTCAGAATACGAGGCGTATCCTGCGAAGTATAGGTGACAACGCAGAAAGTCACTTTCTTGCTCGGCTGTAGGTCCTCCTTCTCCTCTAGTGCAATAACGTGACCAGCGATGTCACGCAACAGCTATTGGACCTAGAGATGTCACGATAATCTAGAAGTGTAGAGCTCGAAATTTGCTATTCGACGGTGGTTCTAACTCAAAAATCAACTTTTTTGAGTTGTCACACTATTGTTCTCAACGTGCGACATGTTCATATAAGAACTTTATTTCCTAAAATATCACAAGAAATCGCCCCTTGGATTTTTCCGGTGTTATTCAGATACACTTTTGATGAGAAAACTGCATTCTAGGACCTACCTTCAAAGGGCTCAGCGGCCTTATACAGGGTGATTCGAAGTTTTGGTGACAAAAGCCTAGGATAGATTCCTCTCAACAAGATTTAAAAAAAAGTTCATTATGAACATGTTCCGAGAATGCTTCGTTTCCTAGATACAGGGTGTCCACATTTTCATAAAAGTGCGTTTTGTATCGATATCTTGAAAATGCTTGGGCCGATTAGAATGACATTTTTATGGTTCATTTACACAATTATCAGACATTTACTGGACTAATAAGATTTGATCCAGAATTCCCAGGGGCGTACTCATCGATCAAGTCGGCTTTTCTTGTAGAAAAAAAAGTGACCATGTTTTTTTTCGGGTCTTCCTCATATTATCATAAAAACCCACTAAAACTACAACATTTCTGTCTACTGCTATTTTTTAAAATCTTGTTTCGTTTCCTAGAAGAACGGACCATATCACACCTTGAAATGTCTCTCAACTCCATAAGGCAAAATAAAAAAGCTTGGATATTATCCAAACATGTATTGCCCTTTATTATTTATCGGAACAAAAAAGAGATAAAATTCAATACCCTATATCTAAAATGTATATTATCTTCAAATTTTGTTAGTAATATTCATATTAATGAGAAATTATTTTTTTATATTTGTCACGACCACTCTGAATCCCAATGTATAGGAAGCATTTTCAGACACATAATGATAGGATGATTTTTTAATATTTTCATGTGCAGATTTACCTCCCAGAGTGTACGAACGTTAATTTGGGACACCCGCAAAAATTTTTGGTGACCAAGTTATTGAAATACATACTTTTATTATGATGCAAAACTGCCGTTTAATTGTAGTATTTGATATTGAAATTGTATATACACTTCACACTCTGGAAGTCTAGATTAGAACTGATAATATTATGCAATATACATATAAGTAGGTGAGTACCTATGTATATAGTGTACTGATGTACTCTTCCAAATGTTTTTAAACTTTCACAGCTTCACTTTTATGATTGATTGTCAAGTATAGGTACTTTCGATAGAAATAAATCCAGAAACAAATATGTCCATATATTCTTACTTAGCATGAGATTAGTTTTCTCATGATTAATAATTAATAGATACCTATAACTAGGGTCCCTTCCTATAACAACTGATATACATAATTATTGTCAGCCAATGATATAGAATATAGAATATATTGATTGCTTTTTTCTCGAAACACCTGAAAATTTTTGTGTCTCAATTATTTATAATGCGAAAGTTTCACATTTTTATGATCGTTCCACAGTTGATATGTGAATTGTGTGGATGAACACTGTATATCGAGAACCGTTTTCAAGACAGTATTTAATTTTATTTGAATCAATTTTTTGTAACTAAATTGAGATTTAGTATTTACAAAGAGATTTGTTTCTATATCCCAGCAGAAATTGTTCAATTGATATTTTATGATTTTATCGATCCTGTTTGAAAAATTTGATCCACAATGACACCTATGATTTTTTAGAATAGTTTCATTGATGTCTGATATAACGTCACGATGATTTTATAATAATTCAATTTGAAACATTAGAAAAACATTAAACAAAAAAAAAATGATTCTTTGACATTCATACACATCAGATACATTTACACAAGTATAAAAAAATACTAAAAAAAAAAGATAGTTAAAAGAAGAAAGTATATTCTACATTAACAGTTTTCAATATGAATGAATATTAGATTGTTAATGTGGTATTTTGGTTATTTTGTGTATTTGTATATTTCCAACATGAGTGTATTCGGTGAAAATAATTCAGTTAGGATATTAAACAAAATGCAAATATGATGACTAGCTATTTACTGAAAAGTATGACCTATAGGTACTAGCTTTGAAAAAATCGAGAACACTCACCTTCCACTGTTGAAGTCTTCACCATACTCGATGGCTGAAATTTTCTGAATAAATAAATACGTAAACAAAACTACTTAACCGCTAATAGCACTTTCATCTGCCGCACAAATACACCGAGTGAGTCGTTTTGCTGTGGTGAGTGGTAAATGGTTATGCGGCACAGCAATATCGTAATTCAAATCAACCATTTACCTACGCCAATTTCGGTTTGCTATATCTCGAACGCGAAAAAAATTGACGAGTTCCGCTAGTTACAGCCGAGCGGTGTTGCCACTCTTTTTCGAATCGAGAGGTCCAAATGACTCTCAACAGGTTACCGAATGAAGATCAACAGGTGTCTGAATGACGCTAAACAGGTGTCCAAATGACGCTCAACAGGTTTCCGAATGAAGATCAACAGGTGTCTGAATGACGCTCAACAGGTGTCCAAATGACGCTCAACAGGTTTCCGAATGGAGCTCATCAGGTGTATGAATGACGGTCAACAGGTTTCCAACTGACGCTCAACTGGTTTCCGAATGAAGCTCAACAGAGGTGTCTGAACGACGCTGAACAGTTTTCCAAATGACGCTTAACAGGTTTCCGAATGAAGCTCAACAGGTGTCTGAATGACGTTCAACAGGTGTCCAAATGACGCTCAACAGGTTTCCAAACGAAGCTCAACAGGTGTCTGAATGACGGTCAACAGGTGTCCAAATGACGCTCAACTGATTTCCGAATGAAGCTCAACAGGTGTCTGAATGACGTTCAACAGGTTTCCGGACGAAGCTCAACAGGTGTCTGAATGACGGTCAACAGGTGTCCAAATGACGCTCAACAGGTTCCCGAATGTAGCTCATCAGGTGTATGAATGACGCTCAACAGGTTTCCAACTGACGCTCAACTGGTTTCCGAATGAAGCTCAACAGGTGTCTGAATGACATTCAACAGGTTTCCGAATGAAGCTCAACAGGTGTCTGAATGGCGATCAACAGGTGTCCAAGTGACGCTCAACTGGTTTGAAACAGTTCAACAGGTATCCATAAGCCCAATAGGTTCTTGCAACCCTCCAAACTAGGCTCAAAGCTGAAACTTGTATCAGTTGTTGTTCTGAGATGCTTTTAGCATTTCCATACTATAGTTAACTGCACCTCAAGGAGCGCGAGACTATCAATAAAGAATATATATTTTTTGGATTGACAAAAGCTAAACACAAACAAACGATTATTGTTAACAGATGTTTCTATCTCTAGGTTCGAGATACAAATGATCATGGGAATTGTATGAAACCTTGGTATAGGTATAGGTTATGAATAATAGGGAATTCAATAATAATAATGATTATTAAATTACCAAACCATATAATATTCAACTCATATAATTCAAATTATGATTACACGGTAACATATATGATGGATGTGCTCATCATAGAACGCGTTTTATTTATTCAACTGGATATAGCAATAAGTATACGTACAGGATGTGTCAACGATAAATTCATATACAGGTTGATGAAGTTCCAATCACTATAATAATCTATAGGAATCGAAAGAACTCACCGGAAGAATATTATTAACCCTTTTCAGGAATGTCTGCTCTCGAGATATAGGGTGTTGGAATTTACATTATTTCAACAAAATCTTGAAAAATGTCAATGTTGTTGACAGATTTCGCTCTGAGATTCAATAATATGTTATAACGATCTGATCTCACTTTAAACTAAATCGCAAATGCTGATTCACAGAAACTCGGAATCTTGTTCCGTGCGAAAATCTACTTTACACCTCGACAGCTTCTGATGATATACGAAGCACACATACGGTCAGTTCTTGAATACTGTTCTTATGTATGGCGTTCAGCACCCAAACATACGCTGGTGCTCAGAGATTCCATCCAGAAAAGAGCCATCCGCCTGGTGGGTGAATGGTGATGCCACACTCACTCACTCTTTGACCCCATTAGATAGAACACTGTAGACTTTTCACATTCACTTTTCTATTCACTATTCTATTCACTATTCTATTCACTATTCTATTCACTATTCTATTCACTTTTCTATACATACTTTCACGGGAAATGTTTCTCAAAAATCTCTGCTATAATTCGATCACAAGCAATACCAGTCAGATAAACTCGACAGGCCCAGTCTGCACATCCCTTCGTTGTCAACTTTACCAAAACTCGTTCGACTATAGAACGGATAAGCTTTGGAATTCTTTTCCAATGGAAGTATCCCAAGAAATAATGACCTCCAAAAATTACAAAAATATCTTACACCTACCTCCTCTTCCTATCGTCCCTAGTTACACACGATGTTCCATGCACGAACATTATGGGAATTTCCTCTCGTGCGCTCCGAGAGATGAAAAAAAAAAAAAGATTTCAATAAATCACTGTTGATGAATTTGTTCTCTGAGTATAGGTAATTATAATGTATGTGCATGTGTTTCAAGTAGGTACACCGAATTTTAATGTATAGATTATGCATACTTTCCGAAAATGAAGGCCACAGGTAATTCTAATATCTGAAAGTGGGACATAAAAGTTGGGCAATTCAATGTAAGTTTAGTGTATTTTACGTATTCCACTTGGAGAATAACCCAGCAAGCACAAACATCCCTGGGATGTTTTGGGATGTTTTGAAAATGTTGGCGTGAAGATGTTATTTTGAGACGTTATATGCACTGAACAAAGAGGTCTTTGAAGGATACTGAAGTATTGTTTTTGTTATTCTGTGGCATTTCTTTGTTTGCCTACTGAGAGGTATCCCTGGGATGTTTTGGGATGTTTCAGAAATGTAGGCATGAGGATGTTTTTTTGAGGCGTAATATGCACTTCCCAAAGAGGTCTTAGAAGGATATTGAAAGTATTGTTTTTGTTCTTTTGTGCCCTTTCTTTGTTTGCCCCACCACAACGTCTCATGCTTACGTCACAATACGATAAATTCTGATTTGTTTTCGATTTTGTTCTTCTTGCTCGCAATTGGCATTTGCGTTTGCAACGTGTCACGCTTACATCACGCTACTAACGAACAGAAAGGAATTTGGTGAAGTTTATTGTGTTAGAAGACTTATTCAGTTTGTAATAATGACCATCAGATGCAAGATGTGTTGTTCGGTGCCTCAGTGTAATCAATATATAAAAGTACGAATTTATCAATACACAGCGCTTCTCCGCAGTTGCAAAATTATGCATTGTGGAGAACATTTCAAAAATTGGGAAACCTTTTTCCAATTATATGTCTGTGTGTAGTAAGCACTACTCAGAAACCGATTAAGAAGGTAATTTCATATCAAGAAAATATTTTTATGTTCAATCTATTTTTAATGCATTTTTTCATTCAAGGGAAATGGAATCCTAATGCAAAAGTTCATTTTGACAAAAGGCTTCAGAAAAGTACCTCGAAAATGTTTTTTTTCCAGCGATTTAATGTGCGCAAGACGCGTTGAAAATGTTTTGTTATGTCCATGAAAAGGCTTTAAAAAGAACTAGGGAGAAGGTAGTTTTGTGACATATTAAGGACATCTCGATAATTGCCGCCTGCGGCGGACATTGGCTGTTCTATAATAGTTCTATTCATGTGTGAACAGAACATCGCAGTGGAGGTTCAATATGTCTCGAAATCTCGTACTTTTAACATCTCTGAGATGTTTTTGTGCTCGCTGGGAAGCTACTGTGTTAGCGAAACCTGTCACGTGTGGAAATCTTATCGTTTGTGACATATTTTTTTTTCGGTATGCCACCGTCCAGATTTCAATACATTTATCGATTATACAATAATTCAATACAGGAATCTTGACGAACTTGATTACTGCCGTATCTGTATCAAGATTTTCATTAAATTATATTTGATGCAATATGAAATGCTCATTTTATATGCCGTTTGGAATTATTGTTTGATAGACCTACTTACCAACTATACCTACTTCTTGTACCCTATATATATAGTTGAGGGTATATAATATTTTCCTAATATTGTTCGCAGATAATTCACCAAACAGTCATGATTTCAAGTAATTATTATTGATAAAAAATATACCTACATACTTGACAATTAGTTCGATACAGGTAATTTAGGAGTGCTTATTTTGCATATTTGTTTAATTCCAGGTTTGAAGAAGACAAAACAGATAATTAGAATCTTCGAAATGATACATAATTATTATAAATAACTGTACACACTGATAAAGATCGACAAATAATTTAATAAAACTTCAGTGAAAGTATCTTTAGCTTCACCACAACTCACACTTGTCACGTGGGTTCATTTCGCTGTCCATAGGACAACTGAAAGCTGTTGAGAACTCCTCCATATTAGATGCTACTCCGTTTACTCTCCATTTGTTGAAAGCGTGTTGATCATTACTCATTGCTGACATATATGCTAGAGAAGGGTTATTACACCACATCTGGAATAAAACAAAAAGTATCAGGATAGTTCACAGTGGAAGTATTTTCACGGGATCCCTCGGGATTCCGTTCTTGGTCCAGATTCAACCTACATCAGGGGTTCTCAAACTTTTTTGGACCTGCCTACCACTTGACTTTTTGAGCAATTTTGGCGTAACACCAGATATAAATATTTTAATAAACGTATATAATAATATTCACTCTTCTAAAATTGTTCAAAGGCTTTTTATACCTATTAAATTCCGGAGAAAACTTTATATTCAACGGTTTTATACTCATTTGTTTTTATAACATGTTCATAATACAGGAGAAATAAAAAAATTTAATTGGTAATAATTTATAGTATACAGGGTGTTCCTTAAAGACATTTCATTTCATTTAAGAAGAGAACTTTATATGAACGTAAGTCCTAAAAGTCTTAACTTTTGAGATACAGGGTGATGAAGTTTTGAAAAATATTCAGTATTTTGATGATAACTAAGACAATATCTTGTATATATCGTTTTGAAATTTGGTACACGTCTTTTATGCATCAAGGTGCATTTTCTGATGAACAAAAATTTCAATTTTCTCTACCAGTGGCACCGTTACGGAAAAATTATTGTTTCAATTTTACTTAAAAGTGAGCAACGACGAAAAATTTTCAAATTTCATACAATGCCATGAAATGATATTCAATTATGTACAAAAAAGATCCTCTTGTTGATACTCGATAGAACGCTTCGTTTTAGAGAAAAATGGAAAAACGAGACCAGACTTCAAATTTTGATGTTTGAGTACTCCATTCAGAACATCCATTACTGGAGAACCACCGTATTTAACATTTTGAAATTCGTATACCGATTCAGTCACATACCAGCCTGAATTTTGCCACCACGAAAAGCTATACAGGGTGGACAAAAAATAATCTGTATATTTTCAACATTATTGACACCCTGTATCTCGGAAGTTAGGACGCTTACGACATATGTTCGTATGGAGTTTTATTCTTGAAATGGATCGAAGAATCGGCCCCTTGAGTATTAGTATATCATTAAGGAACACCCTGTATACGTCAAGAATTACCACTTTCCCTCACCGCGTTTTCTGATCGAGGCAAACTTCCTCTACAAATTAATCATCAATTCAACCAACCTTGCCATGAATTTCATATGTTGCCATCTTTGGGTACGTTTCAGTACCATATCTATGAGTACGTACCACCAGTACTACGTGTATACAGGGCTTTCATTTCAAAACTTACCACCCTGCATATCTTCTGATCTGCGAAGATTACAATTTTCGGCAAAGACAGGTCGATTTAGATATCGAGGGGGAAATAAAATAACAGTATCAATTGAATGCTATGTTCATCCTCTTCACCCCCAGACACCCCTACTTTGAAATCTCAAATGGCACCCTCTACTTTGAGATACATAAAATTGAAGGTCTATCAATGACCAAATCAACCAGATAAAAAAATATTTATTTCGTATACAGGGTAAGTCATGGGGTACTGTACATACTCCTATCACAAGCAGATAGGCCCCTGAGGGGAATGTCGAATGGCCATCTGGAGTATTCCTCCTTTTCTGCAATAATAAACAGGGTGATTTATGGGATTGAGCAAACAAATATTTTTTTCCAACAGCTGCTTTGATTCATTCTATTTTTCCATGGAAAATTAGGCACTCACTAATAGACTAACGTTTACAGAACTGAAAAAAATCCAGGACCGTACTTGTGAAATGTTGCCAGCTATCAAAGAGTTCACTCTGTATATGGTTTCAGTGAACAATGACATCTTCTCTGTTAATCAGAACAAAATGTGTTGGTGATCCATCCAGCTGCGAATAGTATACCCTAATAGTTCCTTTCAAAACCAACTAGAATGATTTATTTTGACGAATCGTGTCTAATAAAAAAAGTAAATTTTTCAGAGAGGTATTCAAAGCAATTGCTCGAAATGTGCTTCATTATTCTCTAGGTCTAGACAATAGTACAGCACATTTTCAAATTCTTCACGAACTTTTTGATTCGTTTCCCGATTGATTTGTCTACACTCTGAAATGATTCTTCTGTTGAGTTCATCAATATCTCCTGGTGGAGTCTTACAAACCTTTGTTTCCAAGTGACCCCACAGATAAGAGTCAAGAGGTGTCAAATCTGGAGATCTTGCTGGCCATTTTATGGCACCTCTTTTTCCAGTCCACTGCCTAGAAAATCGTTGATTCAACCATTCTCCCACCTCTAGAAAAACATGTGGTGGAGCTCCATCCTGCTGGAAGAGAGTTTATTTTTGTCGAGCAACATATTTTCATGATCATCGATTGGCCTCTCTAAAGATTGTGTAATGAGGGGATCAATTGTATTTTCCAATGAATCCATGTACCATTGTCATTTGAAGTGTCTTCAATGAAGAGTGGTCCAATTATCTCATTTTCTAGAATACAAGCCCACACATTGATTTTCTCAGGAAACTGAGTATGGTCCTGTCGAAATATGTGTGGATTTTCATTATCCCAGAATCTTCAATTATGTTCAAATGAAACGTTGGTTCATCACTGGAACAGATGTGCTTGAGAAAACAAGCATCATGTTGATTCTTCCAGGACATCATCTCACTAAATTCAATTCTGCGGTCATGATCGTCTTCTGTAAGTAAGACACCATTCTTCAAAAGAAACCATTCTAGCTGGATGAAGCACCAACAAATTTTGTTCTGATTGAAAGAGCAGAGGTTCACTGAAACCATATACAGAGTGAACTCGTTGACAGCTGGCAACATTTCACAAGAACGGTCCTGGATTTCTTTCAATTCTGTATACGTTAGTCTATTGGTGTTGGAGGAGGGAGGAGGAAAACTCCAGATGGCCATTCGATATTCCCCCTAGGCGCCGATGTTCGTGGTGGGAGTATGTACAGTACCTCATGACTCACCCTGTATACGAAATAAATATTGTTTCACCTGGTTGATTTGATCATTGATAGACCCAGGCGCGCATCCAAGGGGGGGGTAAAGGGGGTAATTACCCCCCCCAGGACACAGGGGGTATCAGGGCATCGGCTAAAAGAAATTTCCTTCTCAGCCAAAAATTAGGTAATACTCAACTCAAAATTCTTTGTGATACTAGATGTAGATAGGCACGAATCAGTGCTGCAATTTAAAAGTAGCTTTGAAAGCATTGTTGATTTGCTCAGAATCATTTCAACTTGGAAGCTGAGATTCTCAAAACTGGAATTACTTCTACAGAATTTATTGTGTCTCTTTATAGCTTGAGTGAAATTTTAGATTTAACAGTTAATGTAAGAAAGATTTTACAAACAAAATCAATCGACAGACAATATGTTGGTAAAGTTATAGAAAATGTAATTTTGGTTTTGGAAGAAAAACGAAGCAATGCTGAGCGTCAATTTAAAGCTATTTTTGAATTGGTTTGTGATATTCATGAAAAAATGGAGATAGATATTCATAGTCCAAGAATAATAAAACGACAAGTATATCGTAGTAACATACTAGCAGAAAATGTTGAAACTTACTACAGGCTCAACTAGTACATACCTTCGTTGGATCATGTTACGAACGACTTTCGTTTTAGGTTTGATAAAGAGGGACTGAATACTTGAGTTCAATATATTTTTTCATTCAATTTTTTGTTCAAGAAATCCCGATGCACTTACTAAATCACTTCAAACAATAACAGACTACATCAATAGGTTGCATGAGAATATGAGCAATGATATAACTTTCATAAAACTAAATTCTGAGTTTCAGTTGTGGAAATTCGTTACACAAAATGATGTTAAAGATGGTTTAGATCTCTTTATATCTTGTGATGGAGATATGTTTCCCTTATTAAACAATGCCTACAAATACTTGTTACCTTGCCTGTTAGTGTGGCTTCTGCGGAAAGGAGTTTTTCCTGCCTTAAACGGTTGAAAACTTGGCTACGCTCAACCATGCTGCAAGAAAGGCTTTCAGGTTTGGCAATGCTATGCATACATAGAGAGATTCAGGTAGATGTCGAAGATGTTATTAATCGATATGCTACCGAAAAAAATAGAAGAGTAGACTTTATTTTGTAATCTCCTCTTTCCAAAGAGTTTTTTTGTTATATTTTGAGATGTTTCTTGTTATTTTTGTGTTTTAGTCTTGTTTTATTTTTGTTCAAATATTGATGACAATTTTTTTATGTTCTTGATTCTTTTTATTCGTTTTTCATTTTTAGTTTCTATACTCAATGATAGGTTTCTGTTTCCTATATTTGGACATTTACCCCTCCCAGAACTAAATCCTAGATGCGCTACTGGATAGACCCTCATTTTTTGTATCTCAAATTAGGAGGTGCCATTTGAGATTTCGAACTAGGGGTGTCTGGGGGTGAAGGGGATAAAGATATAATTCGATTGATACTGATGGCATTTTACTTCCCCCTCGATATCTAAATCGACCTGTTTTTTCCGAAAACTGTAATCTTCGCAGATCAAAAGATATGCAGGGTGGTAAGTTTTGAAATGAAAGCCCTGTATAGTCTATCCAAAGTCAATTGGAGCATCTCTCGCATCGCGAGAAGCTCCAAATGACCTTGGATAAATTATACTACCGTTTAGGAACCCCTGATCTAGATGGTTTGAGGGTTTTACTCACAGTGGCAAACCCAATGAAAAAAAGTTGTTCAGCTGTGAAGTTCTTCGTATCACCGCTCACACGGTTTCTGGCCAACATTTTTTTCATTGCTCTGAACGATTGTCTTGCTCCGCCATTGTCAGCTATATTCTCGTTCAAAGTTTTAGTACCATCAACCTGTAAAATTGTAGGAATACTCAGCATTCTAAGCGGAACAGAATAACAAATTACGGCATTTTTCGCCGATCATAGCTGAACTGATAATAGTACGTATAGATGATAACACTTTATCGCTAAATAATTTGCGTAATGATGCAAGGAAAAACATGGAAATACATAGACTCACATGCATATTTATTTTTGGCACATAATAACTGTTATATTTTTCGATAAAGCACTTAGTTTTATTTTCGAAAGTTTCTTGGGTTTTTTGCGTCCACCATTGCTGTTGTATGCCCTCAGAATCGTAATTTTTACCAGCCTCGTCGAAACCATGAGTCATTTCGTGACCGATAATGCTCCCTATTCTTCCGTAGTCAAGAACACTGAAAGAACAGTAAACTGTCTTTGATTGGCGAAACTTTCAAATAAAATAAATAGTATATATAGAGTCACTGGATGGTATGAGTAGATAATAATCTATGATAAGAGTTAGGACACAGCTGAATTTCTGCCCTTCTCTGTTTTCTATATTACAATGGTTTGAGTGTATAGAAGAATGAGACCTATATAGTAGCACCTGATTGTCAGATACGATTTCAGAGGTTATAGCCTGCAGTTTTCGAACCATTCCCAAACCTCATTGTCCGATTGGTCACAGTGAATAACGTGATACATTAAAGAAGCATGCGCATTGGCTCGTAGAAAAACTCTATTATTAAATAGGAAGGAAAAACATTTTTTCTACTACTGCTATGGAAAGTAGCGCCTTTCTCATAGCTTACTTAGTTTCAAAACCATGTATTGCTCATACTGTGAGAAATATTTTTTCTCACGGCACTTTGCCAACACCACGTACATTTCCATGGAGAATCAACAAAAATCGACCAAAACTGAATTGGCTGCTGTTCAGCATTGAATAGTTGTCACAACTGTCAGAATAAGTTTTTTAAATTCTTTGGGGTAGTTCTCATTAGTGCTTTTGATAGAAATCGCATTTTCCATCGAATATTATTCCAACCATTCATAATAAATAATACGATGTATATACCAGGTGATTCAATAACGGTGACGAGGTACAGTATCTTAGGAGTTAATAGTTTATTAAACACGCCTCCTAGCGAGGGCGGTAAGTACCACAATGGTATATATGTATGGATCTTTATTTTATTCACCAAACCTTCCTTCCTCGAACCATAGTTTTTGTTAGCAATTTATTAGTTCCTGAGATACAGCTCCTCGGTTACCCTTATTGAATCACCTGGTATATGTATGTGACGATTTTGATGAATACACCGCCAGAGACAGAGATAATGGAAAAAGCTGCGGAAGTTGGATTTGTTTACGGAAATTTCAAGAAATAAGTATGAATAATTGGCATATACGAAAAATATATTTAATTTAAAAAAAAATACTGAAATAAAATCTTTTTCGGAAAGTGTACTTTTTTGAAATACTTTGAGGAACTAAGAAAGGCGTCTACTCTTTGGTCACATTGTGTCAGATTATAAAATGAACACCAATATTTACATTACTTTGGATTCTTTGAATAAGTGCAGTTGTAGAAAAAGTATAGTGTGCAACATGTGGGGAAAAGTGCTTTTCCCACTTGTTGCACAATATACTATTTGAAAGCATGAATCACTGTATACTATATTTGTACCTGTTTTTGCTACCAAAGAATACTGGGTTCAACATCGCAATAGGGAATGCTGAAAAAAAAAAGATCATTCATTTTATAGGTACCTATATATCTACAAAAAATGCACTTTTGTTCTTCTACTTACTTATTTTATTATTGGGCCTATTGTAGTAGGCGTTAACTTCAAATGGTGATTTGTCCCAACTGAAACAAAGTTAACTGGATGAAATTATCAGTATCAATACTATAAGTGCTTCAAAATATTCGGGTTGTACATCGATAACTGACAAAGAGTGTCGGATCAACAATTGAAATGATTATTATTCTGTCAAATGACTTACCTAACCTAACCTGACCGATTTGAAATTGTGCAGGAAGTTCGAAATGTATAACCTTGAAGATTTGGAAGTCCGAATTGTATTCGATGCGATTATTTTTTGAGTAGTTCTGAACAAACGTCAAAATTTGACGACGCGCTTCGTTTATATGTAACAATATGAATTTGTTACTATGGCAATGCAAATAATTCTAAATTTTTGATTGGTGGAACTACTCTATATGTATATCCACTTATATTCAAAATTATACAAGGTGGCTTAGCTCTATTGAACGTTCTGATTGGTTCAAAATTATACGAGAAAAATAATCAGAGTTATGACATGATTTTGAAAAAACGTTGTGGAGTTTGAACGTTGGTAGAAGTCTATTGTACCTTAGAGTGGATTGATAGAGTTCGTATTTATTGAGGAAAGCACAAAGTCATCTCCACGACTTCTTAATTTGGAAACATCAAATTAGGAACATGTTTCCAAGTATGCTAAGAATTCCTTTGAATAACCTTTTACAAAAAGATGGTACTCACATGGGAATGAAAAGGATATGTTACATTTTTTTCATCAATACTTCTGTAACATAAAAATGTAACATAACCATTTCATTTCCATGTGTCTTTTTAAAAAAGGACATTGCGTATGTCCGAAATATGTTCCTAATTTGATGTTTTCAAATTAAAGAGTCGTGGAGATGACTTTGTGCTTTTCTCATTGTGAAGTTCTCTTTAGTTCTTGAAGCTAATAAACTACACTATTTTACCACTAATTAGACCATCTTAAGGAGACCATTTCGATCTGATATCCTATTCTAAAAGCCTATATATGCGAGATGTTCCTTTAGCCTAGTTTGTAGGGGTCTCCCTGTTCGGCCTACATCTGATTTCTTTGTTTTTTCTCTTACAATGTTCTATCCCTTCTGGCAATCTGTGAAATTTGATATGCGTTCCTGAACGAGTTGATTCTTTTCGTGTTTCCGTAGTTGTCCCACTTGTAGATTGTCAAATTTTCGTAAAACTTGTCGAGCGATGATGCCTCAGGCACGAAATCCGGATAGCCCAGTATAGTCACCATTTTGTCGAATTTGTCTATCGCCTTTGCTTGGCACTGTTGGTCCATCCAATCAGAAGAGTTTAGATTATCTCTGTAAGTATCTTGTATGTCTCTGATCATTTGAACAGCCTGGAAGAGAAATCAAACTCCATTTCCTAGTTTTTCCAACAGTAGCCAACTCATCATATGAATTCATTATTTGTTCTCACCTGTCCCAAATTGTCGGTATCAAAATAACGTAGTTGATATTCGTAGGCCACAGCAAAACTCAGGGAAGCTGTGCCAGTAGAATCCATCAACTTCCTAGTACAATATTTCCACCTGAAATTATGCATTTTTTTAATTGACTCGGCCGTTACTTGATGGAATTCCATGGCAAATGTAAAACTTCACGAACGATAAGATTTCCACAAAATTCTCAAACACACAACATGTTTCGCTAACACAGTAGCTTCGTCAGGTGATATACTGGTACCTTGAACAAAACTAATTTTCGGAAATTAGGTACAATATCTACATCAAATTATACGGTGTACCGAGAGGGTTGATAGCAATAGTATATTATGTAACAAGTGTTATAAACGTCCTTTTAGTAACGAGTAGTTTAAGCACGAGTGGAGCAGAGCGGAGCGAGTGATTTTTCTACGAACCCCAAATATTACATTAACATACCTACAATACCTGCTAACCTACAAAATAATTCGAAAGGAATGGGAATTGAGAACATAATACATGCAACTGCATGCAACCGCGAGACACGAATAAGCGATATTGGAGATATGCGAGTACCAGAACATTGTCTGCGATTTTTCTTTCGTCTACTTTTCGCATATATTTTCAATGGAGAATTCTGATACAAACGAATATTGTTTGAATCATTCTGATACAAAATTCGAAAATAACAGTTGACAGTTAATACAATTGATAGGCCAGACATGTCTCAAATTACTGAAGCTGTGTTTAATGAACTGCGTTGCCATGGTAATGTGTTTGAGAAATCGTGTTGCCATGGTAACGTGTTTAATATTTTGAATAAATCACAGATCGACAATCCGTGATTAATCGATCATTTAGCGTGGTAATGCCATTTTAGTTATGTGAGTGGAAAAATACATATTATTACCTACTAAGAAAACAAATTCAACAGTGTTGGACTATTGAGGTCTATTTGATCGTTAAGTGAATTGTCAGAGTTTTCGAGTTTGTTGATTTCTAATGATTCAAAATGATCGGGTTTTATCCCTTTATTTTCTACGTGTAGACTTTCGAAATTATCGTCAAAACTATGGTGTTCTTCTAATATATGGTTGACGTATATTGAACTCGTTTTCTTTTTCAAAAAATTCATCATATGTTCATGAATGCGCTGATAAAACGTACGACCTGTCTGACCGATATATACCTTAGGACAAGTTCCACAGTTGAGTTTGTATACCCCCGATTTTTCGAATTAAGATTTTGATAATTCTTCCCAACGTGTTATTTGTTCTATATGCTACTTTTAAGTCCTGTTTATGTAGAAATGAAGCTAACTTTCCAGTTGGTGATCCTGAATAGGTTCTATAATTCTGATTAGTATTCTTGATGGTAGGATAAACTTCTTGAATAGCTTCATTATGGAGTTTTTTAGATAGAATACTGTCTATCAAATTAACGTTGTATCCGTTGTTGACTGCAATCTGTTTAGTGAAATTTAGTTAGTTTAGTTCATTGTACCAGTATATCATCTGACAAAGCTACAGTCTGCGAAAATGTCGCGTGCTTGGGAATTTTGTGGAAATCGCTTATCGTTTGTGAAGTTACGTACATTTTGAATTATGCATTTGAGTGATAGGTATATTATGAACATGAACAGAAAAAATCATTCAAGTCGAACATTCAATTTTTTTATCTCTCTTGGCGCTCGAAATTTCCTATAGTTTTCGAATACCATCATGCGTACCTAGGAAGGGTAGTGAGAGGAGGTAGGTGTTGGATTTTTTCATTAACTTTTAGAGGTTATAAGTTTTTGGCATTGGCAAATAATTTCAAGGCTTTTCCGTTCTACAGGGTGTCCCAAAATTGCTGGGACTCAGAGCTACCTCGTGTAATTCAGTTCAAAATGAATTGATTGGACCCAACTCGCATTTAGATAAAAGCATGTACTGTTTGTCCGTGAGACTGCTTCAAAGTTTACATAAAAAACACATTTTTTTACGCTGTTCGAAAATGAGTGGAACAAATTGGATGAAATTTGACAGTAGTACACATCTCAGAGGATAACTCTTCTTTCAGTGATCGAAGAATCCTGAAAGGTATTATAGAATAGTTGAAACCACCCTCACCTCCTGATAATATTTTCAGAACATTCTTAGTGGTGATATAGGGTTCTCAATTTCTCAAAATGACATGACTGATCGATAATCTTCATTTTGTTGCTCTTGTGAAAATTTCGTATTACGCATAGTTCCGAAGAAAAACATGTTTTCTTGAATAATGCAAACCGATATTCCTTAGTATATATATTGGATCTTTCTTTTATTTTATTCAGACCAGGGAAGAGTCCCTCTTATCCTGATATCTATTATGGAACAAAATAAAAACGGTATCGAAGTTTGATGCGAACAGCCCTTCTGTCCCAAATAAGTTTCAGAAATACATTCTGACTATTGAAAGAGATCGAACGGAATACATAAATATCATAAACTTGAGAATAGTAAATTTGGTCATAATGTCGATATTTCCCCTAGTTTATGGACAATCTCGGTCTTTTGAACTTTGATTGATCACCTGGGTCATAATCAACTGCATTTCGAAGAAGCTGATTCTCATGAACCTCAGCTTTTTCGAAAGTCTTGATGTTTCGTTCTTTAATGACTGACACGATTGATGGGAGTTTCAGATCCCTGGCGATCTGGTTATTCCGAACATACCAAGGAGATCCTGTCACCATTCTCGCGATTTTGTTTTGTAATGTTTGTAATCTGGTGATATGAGATTTAGCTGTGTGGCCCCAGACTACTGAGGCATACAGTAAAATTGGCCTGATAGCCATGATATAAATATTCAATTTTTGTCTCAAACCCAATTTACTTCGTCTGTTTAGAAATGGATACAGGGCTCCAATGGCTCGTTTAGCTTTAGAAACTTGCTGTTCAATGTGCTGGGCCCAGGTGAGCTTTTTGTCAATGCACACACCTAAGTATTTAACTTGTGAAGACCACTCTAACTCATGACCATCCAGGACTATTCTGGTTCTGGGAGGCCTCCGCTCCCTTCCGAGTGCGACCAATTGTGTTTTTGTAGGATTTAATTTGATCTTCCATCTTAGGAAGTACTCCTGAAGAGAATTCAGTGCGCTTTGGAGGTTCATAGCTGCTTGCTCGAAATTTGTCGAATATGCAAGAACTGCCGTATCATCAGCAAAAAGCGACATCTTGCACATCACTGGTCTTGGCAAATCGCTAATATATAAACTGTACAACAGCGGAGATAAAACTGCACCCTGAGGAACACCAGCTTCAATGGGCTTGATACCAGATCGTTGATCATCAAGTTTTACTTGAAAAGTTCGATTTTTCAGAAATGAACACATCAACTGAATCAAATCGTCAGGAAAGCCCATATCGATCATTTTGTATAAGATACCATCATGCCACACCTTGTCAAATGCTTTCGCTATGTCAAGAAGAGCAAGATGGGTCTTTTGTCTATCATTTCTCAACGATATTATGTTCTCAATGAGTCTCAAGACTTGTAGTTCAGTTGAGTGGCCAGTTCTGAAACCGAACTGCTCATCTGGTATAAGCCCGTTGTCGTCGATAAATTCCTGTAATCTCTGTTTAATCACTCGCTCAGTTATTTTAGATGGAGAGCACAGGAGACTGATAGGACGATAGCTCTGCGGAAGAGCATTATCCTGACCTTGCTTCTTAAGCATCACTACTTCGGCATGCTTCCATCTTTGAGGGAAATATAATAGTTTCAATATGGCGTTGATGATTTTACATAAGTAAGTGATGAAATTACCAGGAATCCTTTTCAATATTCTGTTTGTAATTCCATCATTACCTGGAGCTTTCCTGAGTTTTTGTGCTTTGATGTAGCCGATTATTTCATCCGTAGAGGCAGGCCTTATTCTTAAATCGTGAACATCATTATTCAAATGGGCCAGGACTACTCGCTCCACAGAACCATCCCATTCCTGATCATACTCCTGCGACTCATTCAACTTGAATTGTGATACAAGTGACTCAGCAAAGACTTCAGCTTTTTCGGCAGTGCTGTACTTGACTCCGTTCTCCCCTCTTAGAGGAGGTATGACGGTTTTCTTATTCTTAACTCTTTTGATCAACTTCCAAAGATTATCAGGACCTTCATCCAAATTTTCCAGTGTGGTCTGCCATCTTGAGTTTCGGAAATTATCAATCTCAGTTCTCACGATATTACGAGCTTCGTTATATTCCAATTTATGAGGACGATAGAGAGTTCTCATGGCTCTTCGTTTTAATAAAAGGTTGATATCAATACAGGGTGTCCCGAAATTATCCTGCCAACCTCTGAGTTCTTCTGGAAGAACATTGAAAAATTTGATGGCGAGATATTTGAATGAAGATTTGTTTTTTTGAAATCCTTGGTTTCGTTAATCTCATATTGATTTTTCCTCTTGTATTATATCTATTTATATCTTCATTTCTAGTTATTCCAGATCGAGTATCAGACATTTCTTTCTTCATGTGAATGAGACATTCGTATACGAAGCATGAGACTATAGTGTTAAAATTTTGAATCGTTTGAATAATGGTTTGCAATGTTCCGTATAACTTACTCCTGCCATTATCCTTAGAACTTTTTTTGTAAAATGAAAATTTTTGTAGAATGAGGAATATGTCATTAATGAATGAAATATTGAGAAATGAGAAACTCTGATATAACGTTGTTCGTTAGTTTGATCGTTTCGACATAAAACAAATGAATTTAGCAAAAAACCTCTTTTCCTAGCTTCTTTCTGCTGCTGAGGCAGTCATTGAAAGCGAGGCATTGTATACATATTGAGGGCTGACTAAAAAGCACACCTTGGCAGAATTTGCACATTCAAACCCCTCAAATAATCTTCGACAATTCGTCTGCTTTGCATATCTCCGTCAGGCGCCATCATCAGAAAAATTCTCATCAAAACGAAATTTTTGACAGTATCGGTTTCGCTTATCCTGACCAGATTCAAAATACCGTAGATCAGCCTGGGAAGACCGTCGTAAACGAAAACTTCGGTGTCTCCATCAACTTTGACACCAGAAGCTTGGATGATATGATTGAGATACTCTATCCAGTCTATCTGAAACAAATTGAATAACAATCTTCTCAATCAAATCTCAAATTCAACCCCATATGCTATTTATTCTTCTTAGTATAATAGTTGAAATATCAGTATTAAACGATTTTCAAACTATTAATTAATATAATTTTAAATTAGGAACTCAAGATAGTATCATTACCTTTGCAGTGTTATTGAAATGCTCCTTAGTCCATTCATTCAGCTCTTGCAGGGTTATTGTAGTCCCATCAGTCAAATTTCTGATATAAGTATTATCTGGAACATACTAACAGACATATCGGGTAACACAGATACATTATGGTATAGGTACCCCACTTTCCTCCTTTGGTTTTCTAGCTTTATTAATGAAAATGTAGCAATATTACAAACGATAAGATTTCCCTCTGCAGAAGTAAATTTCTATAGAGAACTCAATGCCATAAAACAGATTGCTGTCAACATGGGATACAACATTGATTTGATAGACAGTATTCTCTTTAAAAAACTCCATAATGAAGCTATTCAAGAAGTTTATCCTAGGACTTAAAAGTAGCATATAGAACAAATAACACGTTAGGAAGTTTTATCAAAAATAATAAAGACAAAACTTCTAAATTCGAATTCGATAAATCAGAGATTTACAAACTCAACTGTGGATCTTGTCCTAAGGTATAATAATATATCGGTCGGACAGGTCGTACGTTTAATCAGCGATTCATTTACATAAGATGAATTGTTTGAAAAAGAAAACAAATTCAACATACGCCAACCATGTATTAACAGAGAACCATAGTTCTGATTATAATTTCGAAATTCTACATGTAGAAAATGGAGGAATAAAACTCAATCATTTTGAATAATTAGAAATGAATAAACTCAAAAATTCTAATATTTTATTCAACGATCAACTAGATAGTACACCACTGTTGAATTTGTTTCCGTAGTAGGTAATAATATGTTTTTCAAGATAATCCGTTACACCGTATTTTAATGTAGAAATTGTGCCTAAAAGTAGGATATTCAAAAGTTAGGCAAGCCAAGGATAGTCTATTTCATTTTGTACCGCAGTATTTCACCTGATGAAGCTATACTGTAATGATATTTCCCTTAGAGGGGCTCTAATAAACATCATCAGTAAGACAGTAGTACAACGATCATCCTGTAACAGGCATCCCAGATTGTCTCCTCGATATTAACATTTCATGAAATTTGAAATGTAACACACTCTTCCTCTCTTCACTAAATTTCTAATCCTTAAATCTATTTAATGAGTCTTAGTTACCGTTACTCGTCATTTGTTAACTGTTACCTGTTGCTTATTAAACATCAATAAAATGAATGCTTACGCCTCCAAGGAAGATTCCTCTCATGAAATTGGACATGATATTGATATTGGCAATGACTTGTTCGTCGCTGACATTGACAGACAGAGCATCTCGTACTTTGAACGCCATTTTCCTCAGAAAGATGTCGAAAGGTCTCAGAGCGGAACGACCCTTGGTACTTTCCTCCTGAGCAACTTCTGAGAATCCTTGATTGATCAGGTGTTCATAAGACAGTTCTCGAGAAGATCTTATCTGAGCAGGAAGGGTGAGTGTAGTCTGAGATATCTGGAAATAGAATCAGTGAGAGGACGTAACCTCAAAATAAATAGTGGTACAAAAATACAGGGTGAATCATGAGGAACTGTACATTATAGGGATTCCCTCTCGTGCGCTCCAAGCGATAAAAAAAATATATAGGATGAATTATGAGATTTGACAAAAACATATTTTGGTCATAAGTCTCCAACAGCAACTTATTAAATTCAACAACAATGATAATGACTTCATATCTCCAACATTGATGACGTCATCAGAAATATGAGTTTACCAAAGAATTCGGAACTGATAAAGAAAATCGACGGTTTTTTTTCCGCACTGGTCATATTATTGAGCTTTCAACGAATTTGTTCCAACCTTCACGTACTCACTATATAAACGTATGTGTTAATAATCATGAGTTCGACTCACGTATAACAGATTTTTCGTACTATTCGATGGATTCGAATATGCCTGAATGTTGAACATCATTGGTTGGCCGTAATCGCTAGCTGCTTTTCCAATATCGTTCCAGCTGAATTCCGTGCGTCTTTTGTTCATTGTAGATTGTACCAGTGGGAAGCCATCTTGTTCCCTGACTACAGATACTTCCGGGTCCGCCATGTTGTTCATGTATCCCTGGTCGATGCATGCTTGATAAGCTGATTTGGCCTTTCTCAAAGCTTGCGGATCTTCAGGTGTCTCGTCAGACAATAATATTTCTGCATGAGAAACGATATTTTATGTGGAATCGGGGAGACCACTCACTTTTCGAAACGACATCATCGTGATCTCTTTACCAATAAACTACCATTCATATAATTTTGAATGTTTTCATTCATACTAGGACGATGAAAAAATTGATATAAATATGTTCATTTGTCTCAACACGCTTATTGTTCTTGAGCTGACCAATCACATTGCAACACTGCAGAATGGCAAGCCTCTACACCTACATATCTCGGTTTTTGAAATATCGAATGGAATATGCTGATTTCAAAAGGTTATAGATTCGATTTTATTCAAATTTAACTCATATTATTGATTGAACATTATGTAAACTATGATTCATCGATTGAAAGAGGTTTGGACGAATTTCATCCCTCAGCAGTGGTACTACCCCATTGATCTCTTTTGTGGGATGGGAGATACTCACCGTTAGCCAATGCTGTCAGTTTTTCGTCCAATAAGGTGTATTGATCGATAGTGAGGACACCGTCCGATAAAGGGTGTTCATTTTTAAAGTTCCCGCAGGCATATTCGTAGAAATCCTGGCATGGATCAACACTTCTGTTCAGGTAGTTCAACTCTGGAATGTCTGAAAAATAAACTGTTTTGTTGGTGTATATCAATTGCAAAAAGAACAGGACCCAGAATGGAACCCTGAGGCGTTCTTATTTGACCAGCTCAAATCTTACTTCTGTGAGCTGCTTGTTGATTTTTCTTGAAAGTATTAACATGAGTGAACGTAACAAATGAAGAAAGATATACGGGGTAGACAAAAATTTTGACTTCTCTGGTCGTAAGATGATAAAATTGTCGAATTTTTCACGTACTAATTAAATACCTACTCTTTGGGAATAGTTTCACTAAGTATCTCGAAGTATTTTTCAATATTTATGAAGAATATTTCTGGAAACCAGTATACCTGTATACTGCAGACTTATACATATACATAAGGGTTTTAACAAATGATAATAACATATACAGGGTCTCCATAAATGATCGTAACATCGTAGTGGATGTTGAAACTTTTTTCTATTTGCCGCTTTCTACTAATGCTGTTAACAACATTTAACGACCAAAAAGAGAGGAAGTGATCATATACAGGATCTTTTTTTTATATCGTTTTGGAAATGTATCTCGAAGAAAGGAGAGTCCAATATTGGAGTTTGAAAAATAATGGAACAAATCAAAAATATTTATTAAAGAAGCAATAAATAACGGTTTACTTTAACCTACATCAAATGTTCAAAATGTCATCCGTTGTTCTCCAAGCATTTCAAAACTCTTCGCCGTTTGTTGTAGAAAATGTTCCTCAGCATTTGCGGGCCAATCGGAGGGGCCAATACTTTGGCAGCAATGTGTTATTGAGGCTTGCAGCTCTTCACGGTTATTATTGTCTCTTTTGAATACTTCGTCTTTCAAATATCCAAAAAAGCAGAAATCCAAAGGCGTCGAATCTGGAGTACGTGTTGGAAAAGGAGGATTAACTTCTCGACTTATCACACGGTTGTTATAAAATTCTTGTAAATATTCTAAATTTGCACGTGTGGTGTGGGCAGTGGCCCCATCTTACTGAAAATAGCCAACTCGAATTTCTTCATCATCAAGTTGATTGATGAATGGTTCTAACATCACTTGTTAGTACCTCACCATTGATAGTGCCATCGAGGAAAATCGGTCCATATATTCGCCTACGAGAAACTGCTAACCACACCCCAATTTTTTGAGAATGTAGTGGAGTCTCAATGAAATTGTGGGGATTCTCAGATCTCCAAAACCTAAGATTTTGTGAGATCACGTATCCCGACAAATGAAACCAAGCCTCATCGCTGAAAAATGTTAGGTCCAATAGCTGGTCATCGTTGGGATTATTTTGGAGCCATTGGCAGAGTACTCCAGACAACGTGGGATATCTATTGGCAGAAGTTGCTGTAGTACATTGGTCTTGTAAGGGTGCATATGCAATCTTTTCTTTGAGCACTTAATGGTATGTACTTAGTGGCATACCAGATTGTAAAGATAATCTCTTCAATGACGTTTGGGGATTTTGCTCAACACGCGCCCTTAGATTTTCGACAACTTCTGCCGATAATTGGGGCCCTCCTGATGTTGATTTCTTTTCATCAACGTTTTCAGTTTGGATGAATCTGTTGATCACTGTTCTGATGTGGGCTTTCAAAGAAGATTATTGAATTTGTACATTAGGATATTTCGCCAGGAACTATCATCCTTGCAGGCTACTACCGAGTAACTTCATCCACCATTGATGAATGTGCCATTTCGACAATAAGACATTACATTAAATGTATTCTGCTCCGAGGAATAAGCCATCCCTCTTTTCAACACGACAATCACGAAGTAGAAAACAGAATCGTTTGAACATTTTAACGAAAGACTGACAAGTGTGAGTTTATCAGCTATGACAGTATAATGATTGATGTCAGAAATCACAAATTCGAATGTGTGAATCTCCATAAATGAAAGGCGGCAAATGGAGAAAATATTTCAACGGCTACTACGATGTTACGATCATTTATAGAGACCCTGTACTAAAAATAATGAGAATTCTGAGTGATTGTTTAGGTAAATTCGTTATATAGGTACCTATTGAGAAAACAATAGAATGTTTTATTTTTGGTTATTATCAAATGCGTTCTTTCTTGAAACTTTTACTTGTACCAAAATAATAATGTTCACCTACTTACCGTCATCGACGTAACTTGGATATCCTTTAGTTAATAAAAAAACACTCCACAAGAATAACAAGATTATTGTTGTTCCTGCCAGCATTTTCTCAATTAGTCTACTATGAATCTGCATTCGTAATAGTCTTATTCTTATCAATTTTATCAATCGAATTTCAATAGGTATCTTATTTTATCTGATGTTCATCAGATCTTTCAGGACCGCACTGTCGGGATATCGAAAACTTTGGGCATCAAAAATGAAAATTATTCAGATTTCTAGATTTATCTAACTCTTTTTGGGATGTTCAAAATAATACTAAAAAATAAGTATATATCATTTTATTTATATATTGCACAAAGAGTTATTATAATGCCAAGCATGAAAAATTTATATAGAAAAAATAAATATAGTTAATGTAATCAGAAAAATCTACCTACTCAAATTGCAATAATATAATTATTTAATATATATCTATGCGGCATTTTTCATAGTGAGTACTTATGTCCATGGATATTATCGATATTTTGGCTTTTGATTTTCAAATTTGATTTAACATACATTTTACATACCTACATTAATCATTGATATAAAATTAATCAATTCAACTTTAGGTGACAACGATTGACATGCAGAAATTATATAATTCTTGATTAGGTGTCCATGCAGAAGTAATTTTGAGAAAAAGAAAAACATCATAATTTTGGTCCTTATTCAGTATCAAATAATTTCATCGTCGTCCTCGTCAAGGCTGTCTTCTGTACCAGGTTCTCCCAGAGCATTTACGAATTCTAAAAAAAAAATAACGAAATATACCCACATATACCGGCTGTCCCAGATTTTTTCATTGAGTCAATATCTGAGTTATGCTGCTTGAAAAAAATTTGAGAAATTACGCTTTTGACAAAATCAAATGAATTTGTAGCCGTTAATTGTGTTGAAGTCAACTTTTGTCAAACTACCCCTGAAGAGCAACACCCAACTTCAATTATTCGAGTTACACCCTATACATTTTTTTATTGACCTGTGCAGTGCGAAAAATTCTAACTTCAACGATATGTATCATTCACACTTGATATTTTGACATACGTAATAGTACCAAAATTAGAATATTCGAAGGAAACAGTATCAGGTGTAGATAATTTCTTAACTTAGGTTCTTTTGACAGTTGTTGCAGTTAGGCATTGCATAACGTTTACACCAACACTTCACAAATCAACAAGAACATGTATAGGGTGGGACATATACTATGATGGTATTCTTCCACAGGATTTGAAAAAAATCTTACAATTTCAAAGTCACTGCCAATTGCAGTTCAGAGACATCTTCACAAAATTAGGAGAACCATATGCTTGTTTTGAAACAGAAACTATATCGCAGCTAGCATTGATACCATGCTTTTGCTATAGATGGCAGTGTTTCAAGCAACACCTGCAGTCACTGTACAACTATATATAGAGAGTGCTCGAGTAGATACTTATTCCACAGGACAATACTTTAATGATATTGTTTAGGTAGGTACTTTTGTGATAGCAATCATTTAGAGGATAATACTTGAGATTTCAAATTATTTCACTCATATCAACTCATTACATGAATTACCTAACTACTTGAAAAAGGCTGATCATATAAATAACATAGCTTAACGAAATCAATTATATGCTATTGTTGATGTATATACTTAAACCGCTAAGTACGACTTATAATCGTATCCCTTCACTATCAAACATCCATTGAAGGATGGTTCACCAATATTGCAAAAATCCCAATGTTCTTACCATAAAAATCAATTCTCCCATCTCCATCAACATCAACTTCTTTTATCATATCTTCAACTGAAAAAAATGAGTCAAAATTTAATATACACACCAATATTTATTTATGTTTCAAGGACGTAAAATATGCTTTTATGAACACTAGCGAGTGAATAAGACGCCAAGGTCCATTAAAGCAAGTTACGCCCAAAATACATACAACATTTTATGCACGATCGGTATATTTGAATTTTTACTGTGAATACCATTACACCTCTTACATCATGGCTGCCGTGAGAAATATCATTGATGGAATCAACGTTATCATGGTAACTCAGTCAATTTTATGAAATAGGAGTATTTGCTGTCATCACAAATAACTTATTTTGGGCTCGATCATATCATTTTGCATCTCAGAAGTATCAAGAGAACTAGAAAGTAGATACAGGAATGCTTATTAGGAGTTACCTATATGCCGAGCGGTAAAGTGCCACTTTACGCCCGCAAAATCGGCTGGTAAAGTACTACTTTAGGTCCGGTCGTGCATAATGAATTTTATTATCACGGGGACGGGACCACATATGTCCTTCGGCTGAAGCCTCGGTATATAATCATGGTCCCTGAATAATAATGATATTCTTCCACTACCTTATTGGTGTATGAATAACTATTTTCCGCCCCTAGCAACATATTCCAATCATTATAGTTCTATGAAACCGAAAGATGGACCTGTTGTTACTATGAAAGCGCTTCTTCTCAATTCTAATCAAAATCTAGTAGCTCACTAATCTCGCATCATCGCAAATGACGAAAACTACCTTTGAATATAGTAAAAAATGGTAGGTTATACAGGGTGTTTCAGACTTAAATGTACATACGATACCTGTAGATAGAGGACACTTCGGTGGTTCCAAATCACCCCCCATCGATATGTCTACTGTCTTTGATAACTGAGACACAGGACGTTATCTTGATATTGGCAAAATCTTCATCTGGTTATAACTTCTGAACCACTTTGTATAATCTATCCATACTTGGTAGAAATATTTCACTTATATTACCCATCAAAACCAAATGAAAATCCGGATCAGAATCCAGGTCCGTCTTGAGGAAAAACAGAAAACTTCTTTAATCTCAAAAACAACACTCTGTATGGTAAAATTTTATTGATCGATTTTGATATTTGGAAAGAGCGGAAAAAAATGAATGAAGTGACCTACTTTTTACGAGTGCGCATCCAATTTGAAAGATGGTTTATTATCATGTTTTGAAATATTCAGCTCCATTTCGAGGCATTATTCTTATTGAACTCATAACCCCCTATATCCCCTATCTACAAGTATCATTTGTACATTTAAATCTGAAACACTCTGAATAGCTAGAGGTGGAAATACTAATTTTAGCCTTCATCCTACTCACTTTCTTCCTCTGATAAATCTTCCCCTAGACACTGCAGTACCGCTCTCAGATCGGAAGCCGTTATGTATCCCCTATTATGCTTGTCGAACACCCTGAAAGCATCCCTCAGCTCTTTCTCTTCTTCGTCACGTGACAACACCTGATCTGGATCGGTGCCAGCTCCAGCAGACCAGGCAATGTCCACGAACTCCTCAAAGCTAACGTTTCCATCACCTAGAAGCAGGAAAACGAGTAGAAGAGTTTTGGTAGAGAGTTGTTTGACTGGTGTCGAGGCTGCCGACGAAGTCTATGATTTCTCAACAATGCCAAGGAGTATGTTAGTGTGGAGAAATAAGTATAACGGACAGAGAAGCATGGAATGAAGGACCTCCTATCAATGCAGATATTGCTGTCTACACGCGGCAATTTCAAAACTGAGGAAGGGATGGTATATTTTTGGGGCCAAGCCAGATACAACAATCTTGACCCTTGAGCTTAGGTTAATATGCGACAGTGTTTCAGGGAGAAATTGTCGCAATACATCAATGCTTGTCAGGAGTAACCATACCTTTGAAGACATCAATTTCGATGAAAACAATTGCTTAAAGTGCATCCCAAAAACTTGGTATTCTGTTTCGGGCCAGGAGCTATTTCACTTCCAGTCAGCTGCTTATGGTCTATAAGGCACAGCTCAAACCTGTCCTGGAATACTGTTCACATATTTGGAGTGCAGCACCCAAACATACCCTGGAACTGTTGGATTCTGTCCAAGAAGGGGTAATTCGTCTTGTGGGTGATGCCTCGCTCACAAACTCTCTCACTTCTCTGGAACACCGTAGAAAAGTTGGCGATCTGGCTCTATTTTATTGATATTTTCATGGACGATCCTTTTCTGGAATATCAACAATTGTTCCTCCCTTGGCAGTCTCCGCGAGATTAACCCGTCGAGTTGAAGCTTCGCACCCCTTCGTGGTCACTTTGGAGACCTGCAGAACATCTATTTCCAAAGACTCGTTCATCCAACGAACAGCCAGGCTCTGGAACAAATTGCCAAGGAGGGTGTTCCCCGAGGCATATAACCTCTAGATATTTAAGGAGAACACCAATTCCTACTTTGTTTCCCTTGGTTCTCACGATGTTCTTTGAACATTACAGGATATCCCTTCTCGTGGGAACCAAAACATAAAAAAAACACCTCCCATAGCAATGTACTCCAGAGCCTCGCTGTTCGTTGGATGAACGAGTTTTTGGAAAGAGATGTTCTGTAGGTCTCCAATAAAGTGAGCACGAAGGGGTGCGAAGCCTCAACTCGACGAGTTAATCTCGCAGGGACTGCCATGGGAGGAAAAATTGTTGATATTTCAGGAGAGCATCACCCATGAAAATATCTATGAGATAGAGCTATATCGTTAACTTTTCTACGGTGTTCCAGACGAGACGAATCGCCCTTTTTTGAACAGAATCCAACAGTTTCAGGGTATGTTTGAGTGCTGCACTCCAAATATGGGAACAGTATTCCAGGACAGGTGGGATCTGTGTCTAATAGATAATAAGCAGCTGACTGGAAGTGGAATAGCCTCTGGCCCGAAACAGAAAACCAAGTTTTTGGAATGCACTTTTAGCAATTGATCTCACGTGATTTTCCCAAGAAAGGTTATTGCTGATAGTAATAGCAAGTATCGGAATGGATATCTTCAAAGGTAAAAAACAGGAAAACTTACCATCTACGTCTACTTCTTGTAGCATCTGTTGAAGTTCCTCGGTTCTGGCGAACTGCCCTAGAGACCTCATAACTCTACCTAGCTCCTCTTTGGTGATGCTACCATCTCCGTCTTTGTCGAATAGTCTGAAGGCTTCGCGAAATTCTGTAATATATTAGCTCTTGTACAAGTCAGTTTACCTCCTTGATTATTCAGAAATGATTTGAAGTGTTGTTACCTTTCATTTGGCTCTTGGACACTGCAGTGTTTCTTATGGAGAAACTCTGGGTTCTGGGATAGTCCATGGGCTTGAGTTGTTCCATGGGAGATGTCGTTTCTTCGGCTTCATTCTGGTAGAGGATGCTACCGTTAGGTTGAGCCTCTGACTGATTGGTTTGCCTGGTCTGAAAAGCATGTACCTACTACTTGTTAAATTATAATGAATTTATTATCTATGTTGATAGGTTCGACAAATGTCAAATATCATCAATATCAGTAACAAGTTGACTTCCACCTCCAATGCAGGGGAAAGATATAGTAGACGGAAAAATGATTTTGTGAATTCCTTGCTCTTGAAGATTCTGAGGGTCGCTCGAAAGGGGGCAAACGAATGACGAAAAGAACAATTTCAGAACAACAATAATTATACTAAGGCGATTAATGATCTCGCTTTGCTCGCACGTTGAAATATCTCGATCATTAGCTGCCCTCATTAATATATAGTAGCTGGTTACAGAAGTTGACTTATACAGGGTGTTCCTCCGGGAAGAAGGTTTTTAATGAACAAGCTATTATAATAATGCTACGAAATGACACATAAGACAGAATAGTTACATAGATCATTTAGTAAGTCCTAAATATCCTCATTTTCAACAATACAAAAATCGTGTGGAAAATTAACTTTCCAAATAGGAAGGAACAGAAATGCAAGTGGATAAAAAAATCGGAATAATTACGTTACCATAGCAACGTCTATGGTATTTACTGTGCATTTACTGTTTGTTTATCAAGTCACCGAACATCTTAGATCTTTAGTTGATGTTCGGTGATCAAGTGTTGCGCGTAGCATCAGTTTGACAATTGTAAATGTAAAATATGTGGAGATCTGGAAATATTTGCGAAGCAGAAATAGTAAAAGAGATTGAAAAATCAACTCCAGATAATACTAAAAGAAGTAATTCGTCCATTTGGAACCAATTCATAAATTCATAAATTGTTTACAAAATTCGCCATAGCGAACGAAATTTGGAAACCGAACAGTCACTGAAAAATGTGGCAGGAATATTGATGTACTGGGGCTTCAAATATGAAGAAACAGAATGGGGAATATTATAAAGAATACTTGGTAAAAACAAAGTTCAGAATAACAGCTTTTGTTAAATTGCCAATGAAATTAAGCATTCGAAGACAACCATAAAAAATGTTTGGCTAGATCTGAGCTCTAATGCGGTATCGCCCCCGAGAGTATATAGTGCGAAGAAATAAAAATCGTGCGGTAAATTTCCTTTTCCGCACCCTCCTAGGAAAATCTACTCACCTCTTTTTCCATTATGATGTGAACAACTGATGAATTCAATAGAAATCTAAGATAACACGCACATTTTTATAATAAACAAGTCATAGTCATCAGATAAAATATTATTTTCAATCTAGTAGGTATGTACCTACTTATAAGATAGACAGTCTCAGTTATGTATAGAAAATTATTTCAATGGAATATGATACTTATGTTAATTATAATGTACCTAGTCTTGAAGAAATGCATTGTTCGTTTGAGACATATATTTATATCAAGGTAGGAATATGAAATAATATTGCATGAAATTGAAGATATACTATCAATTGATTATCAGTTGTAAAAACTTCATGAACGATGGGATTTCCAAAAAAACCTTGATAAATCAGCATTCCCTAACACAGTACCTACCTACTAAAGTATTTTTTGATTTTTTTTCCATCCACTATTAAAAAAATTAATTATCAATTTAACGTTGCCAATGCGAAATACGTGTTAATTTTATTTGTGATTTGCTGCAAAGTTCAACTCACTTGACTCGAACATAGACTTTGGAAGATTTGTTTAAAACGACCCATCTTAAGTAAACTCTGTACAAAACTGTACATGAAGCTACTCAACAAAGTATTTGATTCATGCATCAACAATATTTCGATGAAATATTACTACAACAGCTACCCAAAAAGTTGGAAATATCCATGAAAATGTCTGACTGTTTATTTTTCTTCTATCAAAAATGAATGTTTCAAAATATACAAAAGACATTGCCGTATCATGCTGGGTTCATCACATGCATATTTATTATGAAATTCAGATTATGTAAAATTGAACAAAATTTTGAAAATATATCAATTTGTCTACGCATTTTTTCATGACATACAAGGGTGCATTGTTTCATAGTTCTGACATCATAAATGATTTGTTTTGAATAATCATTAGAAATGATCATGAGAGTCTGAGGAGAGGAGGAAAAAATTGGGTATTCAATATAAAGAGGAAAAGTTGCATACTCACCACAAGATCTTTCAATTGGCTCACAAGAGGTGAGCTGGAAAAAAAATTGTTCACTGCTGAAAACAACTTTCCCTCGAATTTCGCCACGTTTCAACTGTTTTTGCACCCCAATCGCAAACCTACAAAAAAAATGTATAGGAGAAGTATACTTGTATGAACTCTGATCTTGATGAGCTTGGAATTTAAAAAAAAATCATTCGTATCAGAAGATTTTGTTTTCAAATTCTCATCGTGTGTGTTCACTAGATGTAATTCAATATTCGTCGTGGCATATAGCCCGGAAAGTAGTTGTTTTCTGTTGAATAAACCGTGAAAGAATTGATCATCACATGGAGAATGCGAATTCTCAATGTATTTCTTCATATATAACAAGGGGAAGCTTTCGTGACTGTTCTATAATAATATTATTGTTCCATTCGATGTTTTCAGTCAGTCTTGATAAAGAAAATAAAAATTTTCGAAAGCTCGACGACAAATAACGAAGAAATTTAATTGATTCATTGGTCCAGACTGCATCCCACTAATATTTCTTCATATATATAATAATATATCCATTTTTTTGTGTTCATGAATATATCTGAGAATGATTCTTCACGCTGAGAAGCGGTGTTTTCTTGTCTGCATCTAGGCGTTCAATCACACGACTCTTATACCATGTTACAATCTGTTGGTTCAATATATACTGTATATAGCTTCGCAATTTCAAAATTATCATATTATATAATAATTATTCATGAATCAAAAAATTTATTTCCATACCAAATCATCTTTTCTTATTGTCACCTATCAATTTAGATACAAGCATTCGTGGAGAATAATATACATACTCTATATTTGAAAATATTCCTCTTTGTGAGGGCTATGTTCAATAATCTCTTCCTATATAGTAATTTTCCATCAGTTCCCTCGATATTACTTCCAGTTTATTTATTTATTCAGTTTAGATTTTTCAGGGGCGTACATTTCAACATCAGCAATATTATTTATTCATTATGAGGAAAATGCAAGACTTGATGAGTACCTAAATTGTATTAACCTCATATTTTATGATTCGTAATTTATCACGGTGGATCTAGAGGTGTTAATTTCATGTCATGAGTTTATTTTTCTCGTTATCTTGAATAATACCTGCACTATCGAAAGTATTAATTTTTATCCATTTGGTGTTTCTATTAGATGGATATTTCAGAGCCCCTCTCAATTACCATATCCCTGTGATTTTTCAGTATGAAGCTGTGAATGGACACCACTGTATATTCACGGTATTATAACATTTCTAAATATACTGATATAACATTTGCTAATCAAGTGTTGATTCAATCGGAGTTGTTTCTGAAATCCACTCAATTGAATCACACCCAAAAATATTTTCCTTTGTAATTTTGATCCATACTGATACATAGGTACTTTCAAAAACAAAGTCTCTGAGACCCTCATCAAGGGCTTTTGCATACGGGTAGATGCTCATTGGGATTGAACGGGATTGTGATTCTTCAAAATGGATCTTTCCACTTGAGAGAATATTACTGAATCTAAAACTGCTCGGAGAATTTCCTATCCACAATCAACACTAACAAGCTTGATTGGTCTATCAATTAACTACTTACTGTTGATTACCATGCGAACGTGGTTGAGGGCCTGGCACTGCACTGCACTCAGCACAGAGATACACTGCAAGGGAAGGGGTGTGTCCCTATCGTATACCCCCCTCCTCCTTCCTAAGAACCCTACGGGTTTTCATCAATTTTCCGTCATTGAGTTTGACACAGAAAGTGGTAAAATCTGGTGGATTTCTCTCGGATATAGGGAAGGTACTTTTCTTGGGAATGTAAGTATTGGGAAAAAACTGTAGATCAGGACCGCACTAAGGGGGCTGTTAAGAAAGATAAGCTCCCTTATCTTAAAACTAGTTTTTTTATTAGTACAATACTGCATATTGAATAGATTGATGAATATTCAATAAAATCAATGTAAAGCAAACGACACTTACTATGGAAGTAAAAAAATAGATATCTATCGTGGATTTTCCTAGAAAATCAGACTTGTGCTTCCGTAGAGTTAGATTCTATCGAGTTATATCTGTTTCCTGGGTTGAAATTCTGCCAATTTCTTCATTGATAGCATCCTGGAATAAGATGAAAAATCTCGTTGGGATGGAGTAGAAACATTGTAAATGTCAAAAAATCTATCAATTTTTTTCCGATCTTGAACGAAGCCAATGAACAGACATCCCAAACAACAAAGTAGCAGTGGCGGCTCGTGACTTTCATGACAGAGGAGGCAGAATGATATGAGATTTATTGTGAAAAACAACTCTCTACTCACCCAAATCAATTGCTCTTGTGATTTGCAGTGTCTATCCAATCCGCGAGGCACTCGCGTTTGTCCGCAATTCGCGAAGCGACACGACAAACACGTGCTATTCGGGCATTTGCATTGCGCGCGTAGGTTCCGCAATGTGAAGGAGTCTAGCCTCCTATAGATGTTGCCAAGTTGAATATTTTACGCGTGATTTGCAGACTTCAACGTGTGATGCGTGGGCAAGCACTGTTGGCATGGTCATGATGGCTGTACTAGATTTTAATAAGAATTGAAAGGAAGTGCTTCCATAGTGACAATGTCCAAATGTCCATATGTCAGTTTCACAGATCGAAAATGATTGAAATGTTTAGCCAGTGGTGAGAAAAATTTAATATTCACCTTGGTAGTAAGCCCTATTACCTCTCGAAGTGCCTCCCACATATTACGAAACACCCTGTATAAATAAATATATAAGGATTGTATAGTTTTCTTATAGAAATACTTTGATATCGAAATATTGTATAACATATGGGGCACTGTATGGTTACGAAGTCATCGTATTCAACAGCCATTGTATAGCTGTCCGAACAACCTTTATAGAAGATAATTCGAAAGCTGGGAAATTTTTTCAACTACAGCCCTGGTTGGTGAAAATGATAACATATTGACCGAGAAAGTATAGTCCAGGGACTTCTTGAAGCATTTGCGCAATATTCGCGCATGCGTTGATATGTTGTGAACTGCTATTGCGACGTTCGTCTGTCAGATTGGAAAATAGAGAGGATGAGGATGCTGAGTGAGGATTATTTCCCCATTAATTCAGAAAATGGAAGGAAGATATATGCTTAACTTCTTTCATTTTATGGAGATGTCACATTCAGTGGCAGCTACTCTATGCTTGATATAATACATACATACAATTCTGCATACATCAAAAACCGCCAGTGATGTGTAACTTCTGCAAGTATATCTACCGAATTGCCTTTCATTGACAGAACATAATTTATTATAGCACAGGGTGAGTCAATAGTGTGTCCTCCTTCTATATTAGCCATACCGTCAGATATATAGAAATCATTCAAAAATATTCAACAGTTATAGGGTTTCTTGGGAACTATCACATAAAATTATTTTCATATCTATAGGGTGTTCGAACTCCAAGATATCGGTTGATGATGGTGTTTTTAAAGGAGACACCCTGTAGATTATCTTGATCTCACGGGAATTTCCCAAGAAAGGTTATTGCTGATAGTAATACCAAGCATCGAAATGGATGTCTTCAAAGATATGGTTACTCCTGAACAAGCTTAAATTGGGCACAGTGAGATCGGCTTTTCTGAAGAAAAGGCATGCTTGTGTTTTGTATGCATTGAAATCTACCAAGTTATTCGAGAATTGTTGCCAAGTCCATATTTATGTTGTCAACATTTCTTCCTCGTTCGTTTCTGATTTGCCTGGCTGGTATTGGAGCCCTGGAAGAGAAGGCGGTATGGAATGGAGGGTACTATTATCCGCGAAGCTGTGTACTGGACATGAAGTTGCTTTCAACAAATGGATTTGTCATATGCTGTCATGGATACGAAGTGCTTTCATATTGACATAGGTCCATATTTCAGTTCCACAGAACTATGATGATTGAAATATTCAATAATTGAATTAGTAGCTGTATCAATCCTCACAAATCCTATACTTTATCTACTGATTGAAATATATCGCTAGTGGTTAAAAAAATGTTAATATACACCCCTCTGCTGATGCCTCTGGATATAATCTTCATCCCTGGATAATAATGGGAGTCTTCACTACCTTGGTGTATGATAAATAACCATTATCCTCGCAAATATACACAATATTTGAATAAATTAGGGAAACAATAATAAGAATAATAGGTATTATGAAATAAACATTTATTTTTACGAATTTTTCCAATTAACATCCATGTATTC